ACAGTGGTGACTGTCCCCTTGACCCAGAAATAGGAAGACAGAAAGAGGAGCAGAGGATAGCACAAGAAAAGAAATTTCCTTTTCAGAAAGCCCAGCTTCTAAGGACTGGCCATCTAGATGGCCCGCATGAGTGGGACTTTTCAGAGGTGACTGGATCATGCCTTGCTGGTGGTATAACAGCCATCAGTGGTTTAGTCCACTAATGGATGAGTTTATAGCTGAATGTGATGGTGGGAGGTGAAGCCTGGTTGGAGGAGGTGGTCACTGGGGGCGTGGCCTGGGAGGGTCTAACTTCATTCGCCTCCCTGGATCTTTCTACTTCCTGTCTGCCGTCCCAGGAACAGTGCTCCACTGCCATGCCACCCTGCCTTGAGCCAGCTGACTGTGGACTAAAACCTAGAAATTGTGAGCCAAAATAAACATATCCACTTTTAAATTATGGATGCTGGGTATCGTGTCCCAGCCATGTGAAAGTGTCTAAGACAAAAGGAGTCGTCCCTGCCTGAGATGGGCCCTGGGTCCTCCCCCAACTCCTTTCCCTAGTCCAGGCTTCAGGAAAATCCAAACAGGCCCATACGTACAAGCAGTAGAGGAAGAGCAGGTTGACATTAAGGTGAAACCGAGGATTTGGGGTGAAACCTGAGAATGGATCTCCCAGGTCAGAGGAGCCTGGAATGAGCTTTTGAGGGCATCTGAGTATTTCCTTCTGACCAGTGTGTGGGCAAGGCAAGACATTGGAAGAAAAACATTCAACATCAAAGTGTTCCAACCATCACCTCTTTTAAACTAGCTGAGTCTCTAGTAGATTTCTTAGCTGCTTCTTTTTAATTAGGCAAAAACCTAATTAACTACAAAAGTTAAAAGATCTGACTGTCTTGGGCTCTTGGTCACAAAGCATTCCCTCTATGACAGACATCTGTGGGGATTCTTGGCTTTCATCTCTGGCTAGTATAAAAAGCTCAGGAGTTAGATGGGTGTGGTGGAGCATACTTTGTCATCCCAGCACTCTGGGAGGCTGAGGCAGGAGGATGGCATGCTCAAGCCCAGCCTGGACTTATCAATTCTGTGAGACCTTGTCTCAAAATATAAAAAATAAAAAAGATCTGAGGGCACAACTTAGTGCAGGTGCCTTGACTTCAGTCCCCACTATCGAAAAAGAAGGTTGGGAGTCAACTGCTACCACACAGGTCCTCTTGTGATGGGTGCCTGGCCAGCCAGACACTGGCTGTGAGGAATGAGGCAGGGCTGGTGCTCACACCAGCAGCCCAGTGTTGGCTTCACTCTTGGTACACAGAGGAGAGCGGGAATAAATGGAGGTTTGTTCTCATTTTAAAATTTGTGGATTCAAAAGTTCCTCACACTTGGAGATTATGTTTTCAAATTACTATTTTCAAATGAGAGTCCAATTCAACAGAACATGGAATAGAACATGAATGCTAGTGTTAAAATCTCATGCCTTGCTGGAGGGAATACAAAATTCAAAAATTATTTTCCAGTCACCCTGCAAGGTAGCTTGCTAGTGTCTTAATAAAAACCAAACAGACAGTTGTTATCCCACCAGCAGCACACCCAGGCGTTTCCTCCAGAGAACTGAAAATCCATCCACATGGAAGCCTGTCTGCAGATGCCCATGGCGGCTTTATGCAGAATGGCCAGGAACTGGAGATGTGGGGACCATTTCTCAGCAACGATGGGTTAGACTGCACTCTGCAGTAAGTGGGATCCAGCTATTGGCGTGGGTGACATCATGGATGGAAGTCACGGGCATTATCCTGAGTGGAGAAAGCCCAGCACAAAAGGTCACATATGTAGGAGTCCACTGACTCATGACTTTCTCACAACAACAAAGTAATAGTGATAGGAGGGATGGTTCCCAGGTTTGCTCAGAGTGGAGAGAGGTGGAAGATGGTGCGGGCTCTTGTGGTGACGGGACGGTCCCAAATGTCGATTATAGCAGTGACTGCACATATCTGCACATGTGAGAAGATGTCATGGACAGACCTGCCTTCCCAGTGCCAGTTTCCTGGTCCTCATTCTGTAATCCAGTTAGGAAATGTGTGAATATGGGGATCATGGTTCAGGGGAAGGAGACTCCCTGAACATCTTTGTAACTTCCTAGGGATCTATAAGTATTGCCAAATAAAAAGTTTTAAAAAATATGAATTTTAGTGTCAAAAACCTGAAAATGAAGCATCTTAGAAAAAGATCAGTAAGAGCAGACTGCAGGGGGACAGGTGCGTGGAGAAACCAGAGGATCCCTTGGAATGGGAGTCACTTTTTATTTGTTTTGTACTGGGGATCAAACTCACCACCTTGAGCCTGCAAGGCAGGTGCAGTGCCACTGAGCTAAATCACGGGTCTCTAATTGCTTTTATTTTCACAGTGTGGGGGATTAAACCCAGGGAGTGCTGAGCTCAGCGCTTTTGATTATTTTATTGTAAGATGGGATCTCCCTGAGTTGCCTACGGTGTCTTTGAACTTGTGATCCTCTTGCTTCTGTCTCCCAGGTAGCTAGGATTAGAGGTGTGCATCCCCATGCTCATCCTGTTTTGGGCCCTGTGTCACATGGGAAAGTCCTTGGCACAGGCCCTCTCTCTAGTGCTTTATAAACAGTGGCTGGAGGGGTGAACAGCTGCAGGCACTGCAGTGTGAAGTCCACCCCCACAATACCCACTCTCAGTGACTGGATTTCATTTTCTTTGCTCCCCTCAGCTGGCCTAAACTCCCAGTTTTATAATCCATTCTCTGAACTGTTGTCCTTACAAAAGCATATACCTGTCTGTGGTGCCTTTGGCCCCCAGAGTAAGAATCGGCCAGACCCTGGGACCCTAGGCTCTCATACTGTCCCAGGGACGTTTCCAGGCCACTAGGGATACAGCAAGGGACTGTGAGAGGCTGATTCCTCACTTCCTTTCTCAACCCAGTGTGTCTTCTGCTCAACGGAGTCAGAACTGTCACACACTTTCACTTTCTCTCCTGTTTTCCTACTCACCTTCCTGTTCCTCACCCCAGATCTGAGAAGCACTTGATTCCAGATTCTGTGCCACAAATGCTCATTTTGGGTGAGAACAGCATGCACAGGAGAAGCTCATTCAATAGATAAGTGTCCATATATGGATATGTGCAGGCATTATATTCAAATTTCCAACAATGAATAAAGTTTATAAATAAAGTCACCATGAGGAAACATTAGGCAGGGCCACACAGATGGGCACTGTACACATAACTGTCTGGTCCTCCTTCAAAACCATCAGGACAAAGACTGAGGATTTGTCCCAGATTAAAGGACGCAAAGAAGATAGGACAACTGAACACAATGTGGAATCCTGGCCTGGATTCTCAACCAGAAAAAGACATTTGTGGAGGAAAATGAGTAAAATTCGAGTAGAATAGAGCACAGCATTTACGTTAATCTCCTGATTTTGTGAGTTGTGCTATGGGGGATGTGGATGGGATAGGAAGTTGAGTGAGAAACAGATAGAACTTTTGTACTATGATTGCAGCTTTGTAATAAGTCTAAAGTTATTTAAAATATAACATAATGAATAAAAGTGGACTGATGGCAATATCCCCATTCTCCCAAAACAGATCAAGTCCCAGGGCCCAATAAGCATGAACTTGTCTTCTGGGAATTCCACTAGCAGGAGCCAGGCAGGGAGGGACACAGGATGACACCTTTCACAGTGATCTCCCCTAGTGCTTTCCTGATTCCAGAAAGTCTATCCCTCCAACCTCCTGTCCCTCATTCCCTCCTGGAGTCTCTCCTGACACCCAGCCTGGAACTCCAGCTGGTCCTCCGAGGCCAGTGACAGCCCAGGACCCCTCCCTGACCAGGTAGGTGCAGATGGTCTCTCCTGGATGCTGCCACAGTCTGATCACAGAGAAGAGATATCCCCGGGTCTGTCTCCAACAGGTAGAGGACCCTTGGAAATCGGCAGGCTCAGCATTCACGGCTTGCATGAATGACACAAAGCTTACATTCAATAAAAAGTGGTGGAGCCAACCGTGGCCTTGGCAGACCTTCTGGCTGGGCCAAGGTGAGGGACACACACAGGTCCTGGCACATGGCACTTGCAGAAGCACTGAGATGCCATCAGTCTGGCAGGATGCCCATGTTTGTGCCTGGGGAGGCAGCCCTGGCAGAACCTGCCTCTTGGGTGGGGTTTCAGCTGGAGCTTCTCACACCCTGCACCCACTCCGCCCGGCTTCCCTTCCTTGGGATATCAGTGGCCACCATGTAGTTAGTTTGTCTCGAGTTCACTGAATTGGGTCCAACCTTGGAGGCAGGCGACGAGGGTGAGATGGCTGGTCATGTCCACCTTACAGGCGGTGCTGCTCTATCTTCCCTTCTTGCTCAGGGCAGCACTGCCAAGTCCAGAGCAGATGAGAAGATACCAGCCCCAAAGTGATCTCTCAGAAGGTGCAGAGAGTAAAGCGCACTCCTTTGCCTGATTGTCCCCTCAGTGAAGGGGGTGACAGCAGCCAGCTTGGTGGGACTTGGTTCTATAGGACACTATTGTGCACAGCTCCGTGGATGACCATGAGGGTGCAGGGCGGGAGCATTGCCAGTGGCAGGATTCCCAGTGCAACCCGGGCATCTGGGAAATCACTTAATAATGGGACCTTATCCCAAACTCCCTGGTGTGGGGAGACCACGTTAATTGAGTTCAAGGTCCGTGGAGGGGACAATTCAGACCCCTCCAGACCTATCCACAGCACCCCTCCCATCCTGAACGTTTAGAAAGTACAAATCTTTGGAGAAAGAGACCATGTCCTAAAAGTCCCTTTGCAGTATTTCACTTAGGATCCCGGATATTCCAGGACAGTTCACATCCCCCTGGCAACCAGGCGCCCTGTCCCTCACCCCTGCCAGGCTTGCTGGGAGGGAGGAAAGAACCGACTTCGTGAGCCCGGGGCCCAGGCTGGCAGGCAGACCCGACAGGGTGACAGGACTGTGCCCGTCCTCGGACCCCACCCCGGGTGGCCATTGCCTCACTCACCAGCTCAGGCACGAAGAAAGCGAAGGGGATGGTGAGGAGCACGCCGACCCCCGAGGGCACGTCCGGCGGCGCGTAGCTGGTGGCAGGCGGCGGGTCGCGGGCGGCCATGCTGTCCCCTGCTCGCTGCTCCGGGCGCCTTCAAATAGCACCTGCCCGGGGACACACCCAGCGGGGAGGGGACAGCGGCGGGCCTCCACCTGCGGAGCGCGCGTCTGGAGGCAGCGGAGTCTCTCAGAACTGTCCCCCAAGGACCTTCAAGCTTGGCGGGCATCGCTCCCTGGGACGCCAGCGCCCTTCGCCCCATCCCTGTGCCGAGTGTGAGTGGAGGCTGTCTTACTAAAGACGGCTTTTAAAGATCTACTGTGAGCCTCCTCATCTAAGAACCCCCCCGCCGCCCCGCCATGGCACTTCGGTCCTTATTCAAATAAGGAGACTGAGAATGAGTGAGGTCAAGTCAAGGTCACAGCCTGGTCCCTAAAGACGCGTCTGCTTCTCTGGCCTGCTTCCTCTCCTCCACCCCGCCCTCCCACCCAGCTGCAGGGGCCAGGGCCCAGGGCCAGCCCTCCTCTCTTCTGTCCTGGCGCCTGCAGACGGAGGGGCTCCCCTTCTCCTAGAGGACCACTCCAGAGGGCTCCTGGGAGGGCCTGGCCGGCTGCTGCCGCCCCAGCTTATGCCCTTCCCTCCCTTGCCCCAGCCCCTGCCTAGCTGGTGTCCTGCCAGGAGCTGCTGACTCCGCCTGCTGGCGGGCGGATCCATGGGGAGCAGGGCCTTTCTCACAGAAGACAGGTCCTGGCTGCTGGGCCATTTTCTTTCCAGCTTCGAACCCACTAACTTTCATTTCGCTGCCCCCAGAGTCTGCAGGGATGCTGGAGCCAGGGTTCTTCCTCCCTGCTGTTCAGTCCTGGGCCTCAGCAGGCTGGCTGGCAGCCTGTCCTTGTTGTGGGGAGGGTTTGGAGAGAGGCCCTGAATGTTGTGATTAGCTGTCCTAGACAGCAGGCCTGTGGCTTGTTCTTTAGTGAGAGCAGTGGGTTCCAGGGCCTGCCCTCCTGGGCACGGATGGGTGGGCAGCCACTGGGCATCTGCCTGGTAACAGGGTGAGACAGGGAGAGAGGGGTTTAGACAAATGGAGCCAGAAGCTGAGGTGTTGAAAGAGGGGCGTCCAGGGCCTCAATGAGCAGGCGCTGCCGTCTCCCATGCCAGTGGAATCAAAGAAAATGCCCTGGTCCCACCTGCCAGCTGCCCCAATTGGGGACACCGTGAGACCAAGCAGGGCATTTCCCCAGGAGCTCTGCCTCTCCTATTGTGGCAGAGATGCCCTGTGTCACTCTTCAGAGCTGTAAGGATACTTTTGACTTGACCGTGGATGATGGCATAGTGCAGAAAGTTGAAGGTAGAAGAATAAAATAATCTTTTTCACTCATATTTCATCTGTGAAGAAGAGACAAAAATGTAACCCGTGGCCCAATACTCTGGGGCAGCAGTGCCCAAACACTTCCATTTTTGGCAGCGATCTGTACATTGAGAAGTGGAGATGTGGCAACATAAGGGTACAACAGTTTGGTTTGTTTTATGTGCTTACATTTGGCCCAGTAGTGCTTTCTGATATGAGCAGTATAGCATACCTGAATCAGGTGATTCACAAGACATCTGTAGGATTCCATAGGCAATGAGATCCATACATAACAGGAGTTTAGAAAAGAATATCTTTGCTTTCTAGTCCAGTCAGTACATCTCTGGACCATGGGTCCTTGGACACAAATTCAAAAGTTTAGCCTTAGCCTAGCATGGTGGTACACCTACAATCCCAGCACCCTGGGAGGCTGAGACAGGACAATCGAGGGTTTTGAGCCCAGTGTGGGCAACTCAGCAACTTAGTGATACTCTGTCTCCATATAGAAATTTAAAAGGGGCTGGGAATGGAGCTCAGCAAGAAGGCCCTGGATTCAATCCTCTGCAACTCCCTTCAAGAAGGCTGGGTTTGAAGCTGGGGGAGATGAAAGGCCCAGAGGGGCCTTCTGGATGCCTTCACAGCCTGGTCTCCAGCTGGATGGAGATGACTTGGTCCTGAGAAGCACCCACAGTACTAGGACTAAGGATTACTCTAGTCACTGGCTCTGTGTTTCATTTGCTGGTTAGGGAGGACTGAACAAGATCATTTATATGATAATATTTATGCATATGACAGATATTTGATAAATACTCTAATTTCTAATCCTGAAATTACTTCTCTTTACTTTCCATAGCAATACTAGTACCTCCTGTTAATATTTCCATCAAGTTTTGAAAAATGTTCTAAAGAAGTTTTAATTGGTGAATATAATCCATTTAGAGAAAATATGCACAAAGCATTTGAGAAATCACCTCTCAGAGCAAGAAATTGACATCCAGACCACTGTCAATCATTTCTCATTCTTCCTCCCAGAGTAATAGCTCCCATGACGTCCAACCCCATGGGTTGGCTTTACCTGCCTTTGGATAACAGTATATTTGTGAGACTCACCTGTATTGTGCAGTGCTGCATAGCATTCCATTGTGTGAATGTGTTATGCATTATTCTGTTGTTTTTTATTTGGTTTTTTCGGTTTGGGGTTACAGAATACATCTCTTGGTGCACCTATATACGTGTTTCTGTTGGGAACATCTTAATGGTGGAATTATGGGTCATCCAGGGTGTATTTTTAGCAGATGATGTTTGTCTATTTTCCAAAGTGGTTGAACTATTTCTATTCTGACAGTATGTACAAGTATTGTTGCTTGTAGTTGGTGTTTGGTATATATTTTCCTATTCTTTTTTTTTTACATATTTTATTTTTATTAGTACATATTGGTTATACAGAGTAATGGATTTCATTTTGACAGATTTGGACAAGTATACAATGTCTTCTTGCCCTCCCCTCCTCCCAAATTCACATTTTTGGGGAATTTCAATGTGTATAATGTTCAGTTTCTTTTTAACTTATCTCTCTCACTATATTTATGCTTCTTTTGTTTTGTTTTTTTGAGATAAGGTCTTGTTGTCCTCGAGCCCACTAGCAGAACAAGGTTCGGGAGCTTGGACTGGGAGGGTAAGGTGCCGAATCACCAGGCAGACTCCGGGGAGGTTTCTGGAACGCTTCCACTTTTTCAGGAAATGCACAGGCTTACATAGGGACAACCATGGGGAAGGAGCATGGGAGGAACATTTAACATTTGGCGATATCTTCTTATTGGCCAGACATGGTGGAGTGATTTTTCCTGGATGAGGTGAAGGAGCCATGGACTAGGGGTGGAGGTGTAGCCTGTTGGACCCAGCATCTATGCACTTAGGCGAGTTAGCTCAGCCTTAGCGAGGTCTCTGAGTTAGCTCAGGAGACAGGAGTGCAGTGCACCTGGCCCAGCCAGGCTTGAACTTCTCCCACAAGGTCTCACTATGTAGTTCAGGCTGGCCTCCAGTGATCCTCCTGCCTCAGCTTCCTGAGTGCTGGGATTATAGGTGTGCACCGCCATGCTTAGTGGTATTTATGATTTTTATGGCTCTGACATTGTCCCAAAGTTTGCCACTTTTCATTGATTACTTTAGACCATTTACATTTATATAATTACTGATATTTTTGGATTGCATCTACCATTTTATTTTCATGTATTTGTATTTATTCTTTGATTGCTTCTTTCCTCCATTCTTTTGGATTTTTTGCACATTTTTATTTTTCCATTTTAAATCATCTTTAATTCATAATTTATGGCTGTATCACTGTGGAAAAACAAAGATGGAATCTCAGCATCCACGACACAACAGTGTATCATGCAGTCTCACCATGCCCAGGAGAGCATTCGTGTAACCCAACTTGCACTGCTCAGCCTGTGTTCACATGCCGGGCCAGCTTCAGAGCTGCATTTATGGTGGTGTCTCCTTATACCACTCTTGCTGGATGCCAAGCTGGTGCTGAGTTAGTATTTGCCACTTCCAATGGAGTATAAAGATCTTAGCACCATGTGGTTCCTCTGGTCTGTTAATGTATTTGTCATCATATCAGATGTACATAAATCAAATTTCCCTCTCAGAAATGCTACAATTTTTGCTTTCAATCATTGAGAGGGAATTTAAGAGGGCAGAACTCTAGTACATCTAGAACTCATTTGTAATGTTTCAGGCTTCCTTCCAGTGTATTTTCTCTTTGTCCAAGAAATTCCTCTTTTAGAATAACTTTGGTGGCAATGAGTTCCTTTAGTTTTTCTTCATCTGAGAATGTCTTTAGTTTACCTTTATTCCTAAAGAATATTTTTGTGGAAGACAAAATTCTGGATTGACCTTTTTCTTTCTTTTTTTGTAGAACTTTAAAAATACTGTTCTACTACATGGTTTGGGATGAGAAATCTGCAGTCATAGCTGGGCATGGGTGCATGTCTCTAATCCCAACACTAGAGAAGGCTAAGGCAGGAGGGTTAAGTATGAGTCTACTCTTGACCATTTAGTGACTTAGTGCGACACTGTGTTAAGATTAAAAAAAATTTAAAAGGGCTGCAGATATAGCTCATGTGAAGGCCCTGAGTTCAATCTCCAGGAACGCACATACATGCACATGGGAGTCCTTCCCACCCCAAGTTGCAGTCATTCAAATTGTCGTTCTCTTTATTTCTTGCATTGTTTTCCTTAGGCTGCTTTCAAAATTGTTTTCTTACAAGTGAACCACTTCTTAGGTGCCCATCTTTGCTAATATTAAAAACAACTTACAAACGTTTAGTTTTTTTTATATCCGACCTGATTATTAAAATGTTTATAAAGTTAAAAACAAGACAAAACAAAGCAAAAAAATCCCAAAATTCTTTTCTTTGTTCTTAGTTTTAGTAGTTTGGTTATAATTCCTGGCCTTGTTTGGTAACTGAGCATTTTAAATCTGTAACTATATCTTTCACCAAATAGGGGGAGTTTTTAACCATTATTTCTTACAAAAATGTTCCCTACCTAACTACATTCTTTCCTCCTTCCATAAATGGAATGTTAGACCCTTAGTGTTGTGCCACAGTATCCTGAGGACCTGTTTATTTATTTTTTGAATCTATTTCCTTTCTGTTGTCCAGACTGGGCGATTTATGATTATCTAATCTTCAGGTTCTCTGACTCTTCTGTCATTTATGTTGTTATTGAGTCCATTGATGTATTGAGTCTGCTACTCAATACAATTTTGCCATTTTGTTTATTATATATTTCATACTTCTAGAATTTCAGTTTGGCTCTGTGCATGGCTCATCGGTCCCTCTGTTGAGACGGTCTTTCTGTTCATCTTGAGGGGATTTGCCCTTACTTTGTGAAACATGACTCTAACAGCTGCTTTTGTCTCAATTCCAACAGTTCTACCCTGTAGGAGTTGCCATCTCTTGATTTTCTTTTTGTCTTTTCCCTTTAGAGATGTTGAGATCCTCCTGCCTCTCCAAGACCAAGCAACTTTGGCTTATATTCTGGCCTCAATAAACACAGTGTCATGGGACACGAGTCTCATTTAAATCCAGTTTTGAGTATTGATTTTTCATTTGCTTTAGCAGCTGGCCAGCTTGGTGGAACCCAGGTTGCAAGTTTGTCTCTGCCCTCTCTGAGCTGTGGCTCCAAGGTCACCTCCGTGGGGAAAGCTTGACAGTGCTGTTTTGGTCCATTCTGTGAGCTGATCTTGGACCTAAGACCAGCCTGGGGCCCCATAGCTCAATCCTGAGACCCTCCGGCATCCGATATAGGGTCAGCTTTGGGGTCAGCTCAGTTGATGACATAGGGAGAGGGTGGAGTAGCCTTCTCCACTGAGCAGAGCCTAAACCATATAACAGCTTGTAGCTTTCAGCAAGCGCTTAATCATTACCTAGTATTTTTCTTGTCATCTATTAATTTGCCTGTTGTCTGTCTCCTCATCTGTGTCCCTCCCTAAATGTAGGCTTCAGGGGAGCAGCAGCTTTGCCTGTGGGGAACACGGCCATCACCACTGAGTGTGCTCCATAGAGTCTTGGAGAGACTGAATCCCTCTGTCATGAAGACTCTGGAGACAACTGCTCACCTCTTTTGCTGGACATCTCCTCTTCGAACTCTCTCCTCACCCACACATGGATTTACACAGTACTCAGAAGCAGTTTCCAGGTCACCCGGCACCTAAGGGTCAGGCTTGAAGAAAGCCAGAGATACCAGGGGGAAGATCAGACAGCTATGTCCATTATGAGCCCTTCCATAGTGAGTATTAGAAAGACCCTCTCCAACAGGCTGGGACAGGAAGCGATTTATTACCCCAGGCAAGTGAGGAGTCCAAAGGTAATCCTGGCTATGGGTGAGATTCCACCCACTGACTTGAAAGTGCTTCCAAGGTGGGGGAAGTTACAGGAAGAGAAGGACAGGAAGAGCACAGCAGAAGCTGCAGATGTCCACGCCCACAGCTCCCTGCTGAGGAGCAGAGCCCGGTCCTCCTCTCCGTGTCCCACTGGCTCAGGCCTGCTGCTTCCAACACAGATTGCAGCTGGTGTCTCACAAATCAAATGGAGTAGTCAAGTACAGGAGGACAGACTCAGGTGGGAGGCTGGGCTAGTGTGGGGTTTGTATCATCTATGACAGCTAGGGTGGGTGCAGTGCACTGTGGGGTCAAAGGACGGCTGCCAGGAAAGACAAAGGACTCTGTGGATGCAGAGCTCAGAAAGCAGGAGCTGTGAGTGTGTGTGTGTGTGTGTGTGTGTGTGTGTGTGTGTGTGTGCTTCCCCCATATGGACCTTTGTGAAAGGACAAAGGTCTGCCAAGTAAATTCTTACTAGCAAAGTCAGACCCAAACTAGCAGGTTAAGGTCCAGCCTGCTTTCCAGAGCACAAGGAGTGGACTGACCAGGAGACAGCTCCCAGAGTCCAGAGGCAGCTTAGCCCTTTAATGACCTCCAGGTTGAATTGTTGCCCACAGCCCCGCATGTGTTCACTGCCAGATGTCACTGAGTCAGGCATCTGACACCACCACTACATACCTATGTGACTGTCTGGCCCTACACTTGCCCTTCCCTCAGCACTGTCCCCACTACCCGTCAAATCCATCTGGCTGCTGTGTCCAGATCTCGGGCCTTCAGATAGCAGGTCTGGATTCTGGGGGCACGGGGTCATGAAGTCCCTCTGTTCCTGGGTTTCTGAGGGTGGATGTGGGGCTCCAAGGATTCACCTAAAATTGTATCTGAATTCAGTGGTCCTCAAGGTCAGCGGAGTCTGCAGAGGACAAGTATGGACAGGAAGGACACTGGCATCCCCGTGCCACTAACTTCCTGGGCCACAGCACTGTTGGAATTTGAATGTGATGACAAGACACAGAGATGGGGTCTTCTAGCTATCTGACCATCCTTGTTACAAAGTGACAAAGCCCTCTGCTGGCAGATGACACCTCTTTTGCACTGGTCCAGTACGGGTTGTTCTGGCCTCACACACAAGACCAAATCATGGAACTCTGAGATCATCCTGCTCTCAGCCCACAGCCCCAGGATCCATCCTGAGCACCAGGCATGGGAATTGTGAGGAATTTCACCTCCAGTATTCAACTGGTGCCAAGAGTTGGGGAGGCGGGGGAGGACGTGGCCCTGTCCCACCTCTTCCCATGGTCTGAATGGGGTGTCCCAGCCTCAGGGTGGACCTCAGCGACAGTCACTGCAGGCGTGTCACATACAAGGGTCACCCTACTGCTGTCTACCCTTCCTGTCCTCAGGATCAGCTCAGTGTGATTTAGCCTTGCTCAACACAGAAGCACCAGGACTGATTTCTAGGATGTTTTTGGCTCCTTGACAACCCCTTCCTGTTTTGGAAGCTAAAGAGTAGCATTTAAAAAGTCAGTGAGGTTTTGTTACAAAAAAAAAAAAATCCTACCAAGTTTCCACTGGCTGAAGAGAAGGTGTTCACTCAATGGCTGAGACATCTGTCCCGACTCACACTGACCACATCCCTCACTAACCAGCCCCGGTGTTGAAGCTGTTCTCTCTCTCATCATTGTACTTTTCTCGTGTATCAGAAACCATGAAGCTGCCCATGTGCGTGACACTCTCAGACCAGCACGGAAGAGTCTGGCAACATCACAGAGCCAGTTCTTCCTCTCTGACCTCCATCCTGGGAAAGGAATCCTCCAGCGCTGTCAATGGTTAAAAACAAAAAGGTGGAACTTAGGAAATGAATCTTCTGGAGAGAAATGAGTCACAATGGGGAGTGGTGCAGTCTCCTGTTTCTCCAAAACAGGACTTTGTGGATGAAAAGGAGGCAACTCACCACAGTGCAGAACAAGTCCCTGCCCACCGCTCACCACCTTCTGTGAAAGGCAGCTCCCTCTGTGGAGAGCATGGTCCTGGGGGCAGGGTGGTGATGGCAAAGGTCTTGGGCACTCAGTGCCACACATATCACTGAGGGAAGATGGGAAGGCATGGGGGGATTCCAAAAGCTGGCTCTTGGGGGACATAATGAAGTCTCTTTTCCAAAGCCAGCTGTGCCTGTACTACTATGCTAAATTCTGAGATTGAGGACTGTTATAGTTTTGGTAGAATGTAAGTATGTCCCCAAATCTCCTGTTGGAAGCTTGGTCCCCCATGTGGTGATGTGAGGAGCTTCTGGGATCCTTATGAGGTGGGTCCTCGGGGCAGCTGGTTAGGTCTTGGGGGAGCTGGCCTCCCAGGGACTAAGGTGGGTCCTGTGGGGTAGGTCTTGGCAGGGTGGAGTAAGTGGGTGATAAGAGCCTTCCCTGCTCTATGACATGGTGCTGCCTTGTGTGCGAACTCTGCCACTGGGAGGCCAGTGTTTGAGGCCTTCACCAGAGCCCAGAAGATATGGATGCTGTGCCCAGAGCTCCACAGCTGTGAAGTAAACAAACCTTTTTTTCCCTCAAGTTATCCCACTTAGGTATTTTATCATAGTGGTGGAAAATGGACTAATACAAGGACTAAGTTTAGGTTAAGGGTTAAGATGTAGCCCAAAAGTATCACAGTCTGACAGATCTCTAAAAATACATGCCTCTTCTAAGGCAGAATGCTATCAAAAAATCTCTAATGGTTCTAACTGCTGAGGTTAAGCCCTTTCGAAACCAGTCATACTTCTTTGCAAACAGCTTTCTTAAATTTTATTTGCACATGTAGTTCTTACATGTTTATGCCTCATCAGTAGGAAATTACACCTGATGTCTTTACTCAGTATGTCAGCTGTGCTACCTAACAGCTCTGATTTTGGGCAAATGATCTAACGTGCCAGCCTGTGTTTTCAGCAGTAATAGAATCAATATCTTCCTTCTACAGTAGTGGTGAGGACCACTGTGCTAGCCCAGAATAATGCCAGACACACAGTAGATTGGCATTCAATTAATACTGGCTGGTACTACGAAGCATCACCTGCTACTGTTTTCAACAGTAAGGACTGAGACATTCTGCCAGCAGCCAGTTTTGTTGAAAATGGAGCAAGAACTGATTAGCTCATCTCTGTACTCCAGAAGGGCGAGTTAACGCCACTCTCCAATGACTGCAGGTTTTTGTTTTCTTTTGACAGAATACACATTATATTGATCTTAAAAGGCAAAAGTGATTAATAAGGGGTGAATCATATTCAAATATCAGACTGAATACAGTGATTGACAAATGAGAAGATAAATTTTTATTAGACCTTATAAATTTATATATTCTGGATATGAAAGTCTTATCAGATGATTTGGAAATATCCTTTACCTTGTGGATTGTTGTTTTACTTTTCTGAATAATCATAAATTTACCATTTGATAAGATGTTGCTTTTATAGAAATTTAGACTATCAACTTAAAACTGAAGTAGTTGGTTTTTGAAAAAAGTGGTCTTCAAATTAAGACATAACAGTATTCTTTATAAAATTTATTTTATTTTTTAAAAACATTCATATTATTGGATAAATATTTCTTAAAAAAATATAACTTGTACAAAAAAAAGAGCAGGCTCTCAGGATGGGTCAGTTACTTCAGGTTCAGTCACTTGGTCTGCGTCCCCCAGCAGGTCACCAAAGCTGAGGGTCAGGCTGCCACCCTTAGCTGGGCCTCCTCCTTTCCACATCCAGGAAGTCGTAGGCCTGCTCCAAGAGGTCGAAAGGCTCATAGACCCCATTCTGCGACAGCAGAGCCTGCAGGGCGCCCTCATTCTTATGGGTTTGTTTGAGGAAGTCAGCAATGATTTTCCACCGTGCAGTCTCGGTCTCCTCTTCAGCCCACTTGAAGGGAGGTAGGAGTGGGGAGTGCAACAGCGGGAGCACACAGTCATGATAGACCAGGAGGAAGCTGGCCTTCAGGAGCTCCCTGTCTCTCTGGGGAAACACCGCCGCCACAAGGAATGGTGAGCAGACTGCAGCATTATGCCTCAAGTAGGAGATTCTGGTCCCTGTTAGCTGGTCCCCCCCGCTTCTGCCTGGCAGCTGGGCAGTCCCCTGAGAGTCTCCAAGTGTCTCCCTGAGTGTGACACACTGTCAGCAGAGACAACTGTCAGGGTATTGTAAGGGAGACAGATGTACACATGGGTCCATAGAAAGGAGGCCCAGGCAGTAAGGAGTTGGTAGATTTCCAGCAATGCTAGGGTTGGGGCATGGGGTCCTCTGGATAACAGAAGTAGAGCCATGTTGACAGGATGCAATAGCCCTGATGCCAACAGGCCATGGTGGGGTCACAGAGGGCACAACAGCTGGAGGGCAGAGCAACCTGTGCGCAGCAGTCACCACACAGACTGCCCGAGCACACCAGTGCCTGGCACTGCTGCACTGGAGCCTGCCATTTTAGCAAAGGTTGTTGCCAATTTTGGCAAAGGCTCAAATAAAGGATGCAATGTACATAAATAAGTATATAATATCTATAGCCCCCCACCCCGTTGTTAGTTTTCAGTTTGTTTGCTCTCCCACAACCTTTATAGATAATCAACACTTTAGATCAGGAATTGGCAGACTGTGGACCATGGGAAATGTGGCTGTTGGCTCTCTGTGTACACAAAGCTTTACAGACACACAGCCATTCTGGTTGCTTGCATCACTACAGCAGAGGAGAGTAGTGCGGCACAGATATATGGCCTACAGAGTAAAGTATTTACTTCCTGGCCCTTTACAGAAGTTGTCTGCTAATGTGAGAGAGAGCAGTCAAACTGCTACTCCCAGATCCGTGTGAATCCTGTGGCAGTCATCCTTCTGAGCAGTACATGTGGAACCACGCATTTGCCTAATAAAGGATACAGCCCAGGCCAACCTCATTTTTCCTTCTCCTTACACAGTGTAGGTGTTGGGAAGTAGAGGAAAATTCTTTTAAATGAGGGATATGTGATAGCTTGCTCGGAGACTGGTTTAGAAACTTCCCCTCCATTCAATAAACCTCAGTGATCTGAAAGGAGTGGCTGATCAAGTGTTCCTTTCCACACTAACCAAGGATCATGAAAAGCCTTTGCAACCAAAATAGCACAGCTACCTGAGTAACAGGGATTATGACATTTTAGCTGCTTTAACTAAATGTGCAAGTAATCACAGCACTGCAAATACAAATTTCCAGTGTGAAAAATCGTATTACCTTCTCTGATCTTTTCATTGTGTTTTCTTTCTCAGCCCATGAACTCTACAAAAGCCAACAGAAACATTATATTAGCGGAGTATTCACAAATACTTGCAACACTTCTGTAACTTTACTCTCTAGTAAATTTATGGGTAGAGTTAAAACGCTGCTTAGAATCTTCACATGCCAGAAGCAATTCTGTAATTAGGCACCTACTGTTAAGAGCTCAGAACAAGACTGACTCGAGGGATCTGTGAAAGATACCACAGAAAAAAGCACCCCCCCTTTTTTGAGACAGGGTCTCATTATGTAGTTTAGGATGGCCCTGAACTCACTATGTAACCAAGGCTGGGGTCAAACTCATGGCAATCATCCTGCTTCAGCCTCTCAAGTACTGGGATTATAGGCATGGGCCACAGTACTCATTTTAAATTTAAGTCAGAACTAAATTTTTAAAAGTGCCTGTAATCCCAGTACTCTGGAAAGCTGAGACAGAAGGAAGACAGCAAATTCAAGCCCAGCGTGGGCAGCTTAATGACTTATCAAGCTCTGTCTCAAAATTTAAAATAAATTGAATAAATAAAAAGGGATGGGGACATAGCTCAGTGAGAAGGCACTGGGTTCAATCTCCAGTACTGGAGTGGGAAAAACAAAAAATAAAAAAGAAGAGAATCAGTAAACATATCCTTGCCAACTGCACAAAGTGTGGAAAATGAAATAGTATTAGGCTGAGCATAAAAAAAATACATCTTTATCCACTCATCAGTTGACAGGCATTTGGGCTGTTTCTAAGATTTAGCTATTATAAACGGTGCTGCTATGAACATGGGTGTGCCTATATCACTGTAGTATGATGCTGTTAATTCTTCTGGGAAGATACCAAGAAGGGGAACAGCTGGGTCAAATGGAACCCCTAGTCCTAATTTTTTTAGGAATCTCCACACTGATTTCCATAGCGATTGCACCAGTCTACACTCCCACCAACAGTGGAGAAGTGTTCCTTTTCCCCCACAGCCCCACTAGCATTTGTCATTGGGTAATTGAAAGAAAGATAAACTTGAGACATTTATAGCTAAATGGATGTACCTAGAGGCCATACTCTTAAGAGAAATAAACTGGACACACGTGTAAATATCACATTATTTTTGTGTGAGAAACTGAAAGTGTAAATAAGGACCAAAATGTATAATACATACTGTGAAATAGGAAGAAAATGTTCAAATGGCAAGGAGTTTAAGGGAGGGGGGAGAGGGAAAGAAGGAAGGAAAATGAAAAAAAAGATAAAATGGAGTTAAAAAAGATAAATGCATAAAATGGAGATAAAGCTCTTGTAAATGAAGGGAAGAAGGGTTGAAAGGAGGGGAAAAAATAAGAATCAAGATATATCATGTACAAGTACAAATTCCATACAATGAATGGGATCATTATGTATATTTAAACTGTACCAATGATTTAAAAAATAGTATTAGGCTTCTAAATTAGGCTTCTCAGGTAAGACAGAAATGAAAACAGATAACCCTGCCAAATACGCTACTTTCCAACAATTCTGCCTGCTGTGATAATAATAATGGGTGGGGTCGGAAAGACTGAAGTAGTTTTGCAAGTAACTATTTCCAATCTGTCCATGAGGCATCACAAATGCTTCTTGAAAGAAATGAAAACCCAGAGTTCAGGAGATCCTGTGGAAACAGGAACTGAAGACCTTCCCAGAGCAGCTCCCAGCAGACCGAGGCCTGGATGGAATATGCCCAGTCTTGGGCTGCCTAGCCAGGGCCTGGCTTGTGTGTGTTTGTGGGACTCTTCCTGTTACAGGGACCTGATTCCTTGGGTAGCCTGGAAGCACAGAGCCAAACAAGAGATTCTCCATGAAATGAGGCAGGTGCCAAGGGGGAGTCTCTTACCAGGGGATGTCAGGAAGTCTCAGAACATGTGTGATTATTGCCACCTCATGGGAACATGGTCCCCACCTTAGTAGTGCTTGCTGGTGGTACTCAAGAGCTAGAGGACCCTAGTTTGAATGTCTCATGAAACAGGCTAGGGCCACAATTATTTTAAAAACACCAGTCATAAACTAAACTTACCTAAGTGTGTGTTAGGAGGTTCATACACTTCATGTTGTAAATTTCAAAAGCTAAATTGCTAACTGTGACTATCAACAGATACAGACTTCTTGTCTAGAAAAATCTGCGTACTATTGATAAATGTGAAGGTTCTACACTTTCTTTCACGGAGTCCCCAGCAGGTGATGGGATGTTCTGCACAGACTGAGGTGGTAGAGATAGAAAGCATGCGTGGCCACTACTGCACCAAGACCACTTCTTCCCTTCTGGAACAAATAGCCCACAGCTCTCAACTCCCACAAAGGGAAGTGTAGCTGTTAATGCTTTTGGCCAATGGAATGTGGTAAGTGGCCCAAGCCCCTCAGGGCAAAGGCAGCAGAAACCCCAAGAACAGCCCTGAACTCCCTTTTCTTTTCCTGTGGCTGCTCATTCCCCAGGCTGCTATAAGACTGTGGGGCCTCCACAAACCTGCACCTTTAGGTGACTGTGGGACAGGCGTCCCACTGGCTGATGCTGGACGGCTGCCATGAGTAGGAAAGAGACCTGCCTTGGCCACACCAGCAGCACCTAGCTCACCCAAGGTCACGTAGTCGGCTGGGAGGGACATGTTCAGGTAAGAAGAAGAACCACTCTTGTTATTTATTATATGGCTAAAATTAAGAAAATATAGATAAAATAACCCATAATCCTGAGGTAGTCACTGATACCTTTCTAGATCTTCTCATAGTCAAAGATCTCAAATGGGTTTGTTTTTTCACTTAATAAAAAGATTTGAACAACTTTATGTACCTTCCTCTTCCTCTCCTCTCCTGTCCTTCTGCTTCCCTCCCCTCCATTCTCCTTTTCCCTCTTCCTTTTTTTTTTTTTTTTTTTTTTTTTATGTTCCAGTACAGGGGATTGCCAGCTACATCTCTGGATCTTTTTTATACATTTTATTTTGAGACAGGCTCTTGTTAAGTTGCTGAGTTTCCCAAGCTGGACTCAAACTTTCTTAAACAGCCTTGGTGTATCTGGCACACCCAGAGCTAACCCAACAGTCACAGCTCTTGCTTGGCCGCTACTGGGCTCCGTGCCACCTAGGGCTGTCTCTGTGTGATCTGCTTATGAAATGCAGGCTTTAGACTTAGCCTTAAGGTTTCTCCTAACAGCAGCAGCCTGAATCTGTGCCAGTGCACACCTAGAGAAAAACCAGGTATGATAAAAATATGGTGAATATTTAAATTTTTAAAAAAGTTATTATAGTAAAAGACACATTGCCATTAATATCCCTCACAATACTCCCCCTTTCTCCAAACACACTTATCCCACCATTCTTGCCTGTTTCTGAGGCAATTCTTAAGTCCTCCTTTGTGTCTTCAGTTGTAATCTTATGGCTACCTCAAGGTCTTGTTTTTTTTTGTTTGTTTGTTTGTTTGGTACTGGGGATCGAACTGATGTCTTGAATCGATTGAAAACATTTGCCTTTCATGGTCATTTTGACTTTAGGGAAGAGCCAGAGATCACACAGTGCTGGATCCAGTGAAAAGGGTAGATGCTTTTACAAGCTTGCCTTTCCACTGGATGGCACTCCAGCATTCACAGTTTTTTTTTTTTTTTTAATCACATCTCTTAAAGACATGAAAGAGATCTTCCAGAAACCTTCAGAAAGTGGCAAGAATGATGGGATGTGTTTGAAAGAGATTAATGGCCATGTGTCTTTCACTGTAATAAGTGTTTTAAAAATGTAAACACGCACTGCATACTTTGACCACCTCTTGTATTCCCATTAGCAGCAAAGTGCCTTATCCAGTGAGGGCTCTGGTGAAATCTGTGCTGAATGAATTAATATACTTAGGTTCTGAAAAATGAATGAATATTATGACACTAATGATGTTAGAGGGAAACCTATCTAAAATTGCAGGTGATCATAGTCTGTGAATGCTTTCTTAAACCTTCCTTCTGTAAACATCAGTTACTATGGACAGCCCCTCTTCAGCCAAGCCAGCAAAGGAATCCATTTCAAAATCTAATATAAACCTTTGTGGACAACTGGGTCCTTCCATTTCTGTCAGGCCCACCCAACCTCCAGCCCAACAGCAGGAGTCTCCCCTAACACAGCCACTTGCCTCCTGCAAATTGTTCTTCCACTACTCTGCACTGCAGAGGGGCAGCCTGCAGCAGATTCCCTCTGGGTCACCTGCCACCTCCCCTGCTCATGGCCCTCTACAAGAAGACCATAATCCTGTCCAGCCACTGTGCCAAAGTGGACTGGATCGTCCGCTGTCCCACCAGAGCTCTTGATTCCTTCCTGCCTTCGGATCCTGTTAATCACCCACCTGAATCCTCTGGGGCCTGGCCCTTTATCATTTGCTCTAATGAAGCAGGGCTCTGACCCGCGTTCACTGTCTTCTTTAAATTTTCATGGTCCTGCATGATACTTTCCCATAGCACCACCATGTTACCTGTGTGTGGGCCTTGCATGAACACAGGACTGCTAGTATTTCTTGACCCTGATATATTAGGTGGAACCACAGGACACAGTTAAATGCGACTGAAAACTAGAGATTTTATAAGGTTTCACCTAATGTCTAGCTGCTATTTCAGATGGCAGACAGTACATGTCAAATTAAAAATGACACGCATGTCCTGGCTTTCTTAAAACTCAGTTGATTCATCTCCCAGAGCCGTCAGAATTTTTGCTCTTAGGACACTGTCAGGGAACATCTTGGAACATCTTAAGTCAAGGAACAAATAAGCAAGAGAGCAGCAGGGGCTCCACCTGCTTCTTGGGTTGGGGAAGCAGCCCCTGGGAAGTGACATTTGTGCCAAGGCCAGAGAGATGAGGCTGAGTTAGCTAGACAGTGGAAGGGACCAGGAGACATCCTACAATGGTAGGAAAACAGCCTACAGCAAATGCCAGGATTCCTTAACATAGTGTGTTCAGCCACTTTCAGCTCCCAACCAGCATCCAGCACAGCATGTGCTACTCACCCGCAGAGCATCCATGACCTCAGGCTGCTCCAAGAGCTTGGGGAAGGAGGCCAGCATCGGGTGACTGATTAGATCTAAAACGCACAAGAGGAGAAGTTTATGCAAACTTCATACAAGGTAGCTTACTGCACTAGACACACAAATATTCATTTGAGTTAAAATTATTGTGCCAAATGATTTCTTGATAACACTTTCTATATACTTTAACCTCCAGGAAGCTCAAAGGTGTCTCAACCTGTGCTGGTCCCTACACCTTGTCCCAGGTGTTCCAGGAAAGTTAGGGCCTGGCGATTCTGGTCACATGACCAAACACTGTGTGGGAAATACTGGTATTTTACTATAAACCATGGCACTGAAAACACAGTGCAGCGGGGATGTGTGTGGGTCCGCTGGTGCTGCTACGCAGAGCACTTGGGCCTGGGTTATTAACATCGCACAGCTCTGGACGACACTGTGTTCTCATGTGGCAGAAAGCAGAAGGGCAAGCAAAGCAGAGACCCTCAACGATACCTTTCCGTAAAGTTACCTCATCCCACTGGGAGAGGAGCCCTCTCAGTCTAATCCCTCTCCTAGTCCCCTCCTCTTGATGCCATCACAATTGTGAAACCTGGATTTTGAAGAGACACATTGAAACCATAGCAGGATTCCTGCATGGCAAGGGCAACACATTTGACACCTGGGTCCTCAGTAGAAAACAATCCTTTCTTTAGATCCCATTAGCTTATTCTGGTGATCAACTGCAAATGAAGTCATCAGTCTTGAGCCACCCTCTCCTTGCCTAGAGAAAAACATAACAAGCCTCATCCCCTTTACGAAGTAATGTCATTCATGAAGCTCTTCTAGAGTCATTGAGAAAACCTCACAGGTAAGTGGCAGTTAAAAGGCTTAACTGAGCCAGGCGTGATGGCACACACCTATAATCCCAGAACTTGGGAGACTGAGGCAGGAGGATCGCTGTGGAGTTTGAGACCAGCCTGGGCTACATAGTGAGTTCCAGGTCAGTCTCAACTACATAGTGAGGCCCTGTCTCAAACCGCCCCCCACCCCAAAAGGCTTAACTGTCCTCCCTTGGAGTTATAACTATTCTTAGAAAAATCTCTGTGCCAGTGCAGGTGATAAGTTCTAGGCAAGGGACATCACAGATGCCAGTACATCATCCCCCATCCACCCTAGCCCGCCTTCATGCCAGATCCTCAGCACAAGCCCCTGCTCTTGCTGTGGCTCTCAGACATTCCAGGCACTTGGTGCAGAAAGGATCCTCCCCACATCGCCCATGTATCAAGTTTTTCTCTGAGAATGTATCTTAAACAGTCCTTGTGCAGAGCAACGTTTCCTCATCCTGGCTTCCTAGTGTATATCCTCTGTGAGTATCTTCACTGATGTGATTTGTGTTTGAGGACTCTTGCTCCCTCAGGATAGTGATGTTGCTCCTTTAGAATAGGGATGCAGGGTCATCCCACATGAACCTACACAAACTGACACACAACAAACCACACATCTGCTTGCTGATTTACTGAGTTCAAACCACAGCCAATAAAACAAAACTGTTTTTCTTTTTGAGAGGAATTCTGACACATGCATTTCTCCTTGCAAGTTCATACATGTATGACAGCTTGTTTTCCTTTTGTTTTTGGTACTGGGGATCGAATTCATGACCTTGCACTTGCGAGGCAGGCGGCAGAACCACTGAGCTAAATCCCTGGCCCAATTTTCTAAATAATTATTTAACATTTTACTTGGAACCAATTTCAAACTCAAAAGAAGTTGCAAGAATAGAAACAGTACATAAAAAATTAGAATATTTACCTTGATTCACTGATTTTTAATAAATCAACTGACACCTACATTTCATGCATGAGCTCACAAAGTTCCACGCTCTGCACCCACAGGCGTCCCATAAGCATAGTGTTGACACTGATGCTACCCACATATTTTATTCCAAATATCCCATTTAGAAACAGAGGTTACAGCTAGCTGTGCAAAGCCCAAAGCACTAATGACATAAAGAGATTGTGAAGACTCCTTACCAGTGCTTTGTGAGTTCATCCTGTCTTTCAGCAGCACGTCTCCAAGAATTTGTCGATAAAATACCAACAAGTGAGAGCAGCACATACTTCCAATCAATGTTTCTGGCAGAAGACTATTACAGAAGAAAAAATTATTCAGTGAGCAATCCCTTCCAATCCTACCTACAGTGTTTTAAACTGAATTACTTGAATGACCGGTTCCAAGCTTTGTTTCATTACTGGAAAACATCTTAACAATTGAAAGGAGAATTTCCACTAAGGTGGCCACAGTAAGCTTCACGTATGTATATATTTTTTTCCTTTGGTACCAGGGATCCAACTCAGGACCTTGCACTTGTGAGGCAGACACACTGGGCTAAACTCCCAGCCCCATCAACCACACATATATCTGAGGTGTGTACTTTGCAGTCTCAGCTGTACCGCAATCCTTGTGCTTCCCTTTTAGCATAAACAGCCCTGTTAAATGTCAAATCAAAAGGAAAGCCATGGATTATGTGTTTCAGAAAGAAAAGGACTAATGAGCCACCAGCTTGAACAAAGGCATGTGGCTGCCACGCCTGATGCAGCGGGTGCCGAGGAAATGCCAGTGTGGCCTGCTCATGGCTGGGTGTCACACTGGAAGGCACGTCCCAACTGTGCTATTTCCTAGCTGAGTGGCTGTGGACTAATAACTTATTCTCCTTGTACTTTCATTTCCTCGTTTATAGAATGTGAAGAGTGTTATCGGCAGTTCACATTAGTAAAATGAGGTAAGGGCAGGGTGCCTAAAGCAGTGCCTGGCATATAGTAAGGACTGAAAGACAGAAAAAAAACATCAATATTGAAGTTATCAGTTTAGATTATGAGAATTTTGGGATGTGCAATGTAATCCCCATGATAACCACAAAGAAAATATCTACAGAATATACACAAAAGGGAATGAAAAGGGAATAAAAATGTGTCACTATAAAAAGTCAAACACAAAGGAAAGAAATGAAGGACACAAAAAGCTACAAAGCATAAAAGAAAACAAATAACAAAGTGCTGAAAAGACCTTCCCTATTAGCTATTACTTTAAATGTGAATTAATTAAAACCCCAAACAAAAGATAAAAATGGAAAGGATAAAAAATAAAATTCCACTAGATGCTTTCTATAAGACACTTGAGATGTAGGACAATCATAAGTCAAAGTCATCAATGAGACTTACATTTTTATAAGTTAATCTTTAATTTTAGTTTCCAGAAAATTTTCAAAGGAAAAATGATGAGAAAGGGAATGATCAGGTCTCTAGACAGAACATGCTCATTGTGCCAGCATAAAGGTGAGGGGTTCTGTGGGTCATCAGTGTCTGGGATGTAGGTTAAGTGTCCTCCACCACTCTCTGCATTTCTATAAACACTAAAAGTACAGGACAGCTTTCTTACCACATTTGTATCAAATATACTGTGGGTATAGAGACCAATAAATCATCTTTTTTAGTGTTGTCAAAATTCCAACTGAGATTTCAAAGACTGGCTGCAGGGGACCATCCAAGCTGCCCTGATGCCACCACATGCCTTGTCAGGGCTCGTGCCGCCACTCCTGAGGGCTGTGCTACACCTGCCTCTGGTCCCAGCCCACCCAGGCAGTATTCTCACCAGACTCGGGGCTCATGCTGGAGAATAGCCACTGACTTTGCCAGGGGAAGGGAGGAGCCTTCCTTCCTCCCATTTGGTCCTCGCCTTTTCTCTGTGTCTGGAAGGCACCAGTGTGGGCACAGTGTGGGCACTCCTTTCCTTCTGGCCCTTTCCCACCACATGATGCAATGTGGCTTCCCTTTTAAGAAAAGATTTCCTTCAGAGAAATCTCCTGTTTTTCCAAGCCCAAGATGACCAGAAAGTTCCAAGCTATTAAAGGTTTGCTGAGCTGAAGAAGTAAAAAGCTACTTCTCTCTGATAGTACCAACTCTGCTGGCAGAAGTGGGATGGATGGAACGAATGAGTCCGTCAAGTAATACGCTTGCTTTATTAATTTTTAGCAACAATACAATGGAAGTAAAGAGAAAAGATGGAATGGATCAAAAAGACAAGGAAAATAAATTCATAGCAAATTCAGACATTTGTCAAATCATACCAGTTAAACCCCTTTAGAAAACAGCTCCAAAATTAGACAAGTTTTGAAGGTATAACCTACTCCACAGCCTGGTGTTTCTTGCATCCAGAACTCTGAGAGTCTAAATTTGGAACTTCCCCTCAGTAGGGGCTTGGAAACAGGCCTTTGTCAAATCATACCAGTTAAACCCCTTTAGAAAACAGCTCCAAAATTAGACAAGTTTTGGTGAAGCAGAAGAATCTACCTGCTTCTGGTCAAGGAGACAAGGTCACCATGATCACAAATGACTCCACAAAATGACACTGCTGGGCCCTGAAGTAAGACCTGGTGCTCTTTCCTGCTAGAAGGGACAGGTACACATTGGCTTGTTCACATTTTCACATTTCCTGCCATCCAAAGGGCCCACACATGTAAGGCTGCTGGCTGGTGAGGATCACCTAAAGCCCAGAGCAAGGGTATTGGGGGAAGGGGTCTAACCCACTCTAACTGGGCTCTGTGCCTTTGCCTGCCCCACTGGTGTGTTCCAGGCACAATGGACAAAACTCCCTATTCTTCCTCCTTGGACTACAGAAGTCTGGCCAAGCAAAGGTGAGATGGGGCTTGAGGTGGGGTGCACCCTGGAGGAAGGAGAGGGCTGTGGTGTCATTACCTGCATTCTCCCACATGGTGAGGTAGCAGGTCAGGGGAGGTGAGGATGCCAGGTGCAAAGGGTCAGAGCTGTGAGGTCCTAATACTCACCTGCTGGCGCTCAGCCTCTCACACATCCTCATACCATGGCACACACCCCAAAGTCCCACAGCCTCTGGTTCCACTGTACCTGGCCTGGTTTCTCTGAGAGGGCAGCCTATGCCTGGGTCACACCATCACAGTACCCCAGTCTATACTTCATATTCTCAGTGTTCACCTTTCAGGGTCAGGCAGAGTGGAGAGGCACTCCCAAGACAGCCACAAGACTGTGGGCTCCAGGAAGAGAGCACACACCAGATGGGTCAGGGAGGTCAGGCGCATGTATACACCAGCAGGAAGAGCCTTACTTGGAAGTAACTTCACAAATTGGGCGCCTGCTGTGTGCTGTAATCAAACAAATGCCTCCATCCCTGAGTGCTGGAGGACAAGGCCTCGGGACCCTTTTTTTCAAACCCAGCACATGCAAGGAGGTTCCTGGAACATTCAGAAAATTGGGCTGTCTTCCTGACCTCTGTGCTATGCAGCCCAATTTGATTTTGAGACTGTAAAAAGTATCCGGTATGTATGCCACATACCGATGTGGCATCAAAGATGCAACATTAAGAGCTGTCCTTGACAGACATGTTTGGTTGACAGTGCCCTGAACTCTCAGAGGTTTGCCTTGGACTCTATAAGGCGAGCTGTGAGGCAGCCCAAGAAGCGGAAGAATGAAGTCAAATGCTATGTGGCTCTTCTCTACAAAGAGGCCACTGTGCTGGGTTTTCATCTTGAAAAAGAATACTTTTCCAAGGAAAGATTGGCCAAAAAAGGGAATTTACAGGCTCTAAGAACATCCAGGAAAGAAAAGAAAAAAGCCGAGAGAGCAATACCTAGGAGCACATTATTAATGGTTACTGAAAGATTTAACTGTTAGTCGTGTAATTATAAGATACACCTCAGTATTAGAGGTAAGAACAAGGGATATTTAACCTCAAGATCTGGAATGAGCAAAGCAACCACTCAGAGGGACATGCCAAGACTTCTTTCCCTACTTCTCAGTAATCTGTGGGTAGGAGCAGGCCCTGGAAGGACCTTCCCTACATCCGCCCCTCCCCTTGGCCTCCACCCTGTCCCTGGGGCCCTGTGGGAAGTTGCTTTCCTCTCTATCCTCCCAATCCTGCGAAGTTGGCTTCTCCTCCCTGACCCTACCAGTTGAACAGCACATCTTCATTAAACAGATTTTTATAATACAACACCATCTATCTACCTGGCATTATATTTACATTTATTGCTATATGTAAAAAAATTCTAATAGTACATAATGATGGCTAACACTAGTGCTTTGCTGGGTGCCATGCATAATCAATACAGGTAAATGTTTTATATGCTTTCTTTTCTTTTTTTTTTTTTTTTTTTTTTTTTGGTATCAGTGATCGAACTCAGGACTTTGTGCTTGCAAGGCAGGTGGTGGCACCACTGAGCTAAATAACCCGGCCCAATATATGCTTTTCTTCCACTAAATCTTGTCACAGTTTTATGGAGTTTATATTGATATGCCCATTTCTTTTCAGATTAGTCTTAATATTGTAACGGTGGTACATAAATCACTTTTAACTGTAGTGTAAAAATTAAAAGAAAATCATTAAAATTAAATAAGTTTTAACATATACACAAAATAAAAATTTGTAAGTTTTAATGTCAATTGCATAAAATGTAGAGGAAACAGAAAGCAATAAAAGGCACTCAAATTTCAGGGTAAGAATTGTCTGTTTTTGGATGACATGGTCTTATACATCCATTCTGAAGGTTGAGAGATGGTTAAAAGTCTAAAGGGCACTAGGTGAAAAACTGGTAGACCTGTGATTCCACTTGTATAAATGCTTCTTGGAGAAAACACAAATTAAGACCACCATGGGAAACCACTACTCACTTTAAAAAACGGCCAGAAGAGAAAAACTGAGAATGTAAAGTGCTGTCAAGAATATGGAGTAAAAGAAACTTATACACTGTTAGTGTAAATGGCACAGTCATTTTGCAGAACAGTTAGGCAGCTTCTTATAAATTTAAACCAAAACCAGATGACCCAGCAATCCCATTCCAAGGTTATTTCTACCCATGAGAAATGCAGGCAGATGTCCACAAGCAGGAAACCTATATTCAAGCTGGGCATAGTGCTGCACGCCTGTCATGCCAGCACTCTGGGAGGCTGAAGCAAAAGGATCAAAGTTTGAGCTCAGACTGGGGAATGAGAGACTTAGTCAGACCCTGCCTCAAAATCTCAATATTAAAAATTAAAATGAAAGAGCCACGGATTCAGCTCAGTGGTACCACTGGCAAACACAAGGACCCAAGTTTGATCCCTGGTACCACTAAAAAAAAAAAAAAAAAAAAAAAAAAAAAATTAAAATTTAAAAGAAGGCTGAAGATGTAGCTCAGTATGAAAGCCTTAGGTTCAATCTCCAGTACTGGGGAAAAAATTCTTGTATGCATGTGTTTAGAGCCCTTTATTCATAATTACCCAAACTAGACACAATCCAACAACCTAGAGAATAAATAAACAAATGGTTATATTCGTTAGATGTGATACTACCTAGAAAGAAACGGAACAAACTAACACATGCAGCAGCCTGGATGAACTTCCACTGCATCACGCTGAGGGAAAGAAGCCAAATCCAAAGGCCACTGCTACATGACTCCATTTAGAAAGGTCTGGAAAAGGAAAACTGCTGGGGAATAAAATAGGTAAGTAGCTGCCTGAGGCTTGGCGGCTGGGGTTCGACTATAAAGAGATGTGAGTTAAGTTTTTAGAGTGAGGAAAATATTCTGTATCCTAATTGTAGTCACTGTTACATGATATAACACATTTGTTAAAACTCCAAGAACTGTACACTAAAAAGGGTATATTTTACTCCATGTAAATTAAATCTCAGAACACCTGCCAATAAAAAAGAAAGTTTCCTGAAGATAGGATTATACATTGGTAAGCCCCATTTATTCAAAAGTGTCTAAATTATTAATGACAAAATCTATCACTTGAGGACCGGGGATTTAGCTCAGTGGTGTTGCCGCCTGCCTCGCAAGCACAAGGACTTGAGTTTGATCCCCAGTACAAAAAAAAAACAAACCCAAAATCTATCACTTGAGCTAACTAATGGATAGGAGAGTAAGTGACATATGCTGTGTTATTATTCTGTTTCTTTACTGATGTTTGTTTTGGTTTGTTTTTCTGAGACAGGGTTTCTCTATGTAGTCTGAACTTACTAGGTAGCCCACATTGGCCTGGAACTCTCAGAAATCTTCAATTACAGGTATGCACCTCCAGGCTCAGCTCCCTACTGATCTTTGGAAGAATTAATGAGGACCAAAACAACTAATAAAAGACTTAAACTGACTAAGCAGGAGGAGAAGCCAGAAGCAGCAGTGGTCTACAAATGTTCCCAAGTGCACAGGAAAGGTGAGCAGGTACCAACCTTAGCGTGTTTCTTGATCTTTGGTTCAGAGACCTCAGTTTTACCGTAAGTTGGGGCTGCCTTCTCATGGTCAGCATCTGATGGAAAACACTGCTGTGTGCTATTAAAAAAAAAAATCAAAGATAAACCTAAAACGTTTAAGTATTTTGGAGTAAGCATAATAAACCAGGTGTTTGAAGAGAATGTATTACCAGTGTGCTAAAGTCCCCTCATGCTCTCAGGGAGCTGAGGGACAAAGATTGACATTAATGCCTATGGACCCAGAAAGGGCCTGGACTGGCTACTTCACCAGATGTTGACACAGTGTCACTGCTACCAGATTACAAAGGGGAAAGAGTTAAAAGAGCATGTGTGGCTCCAGGGACAGCCAACTGCATCCCAGGCCCCAAACTCCTTCCTGTTCCAAGCAGCTGGAACCCCAGCACTGTGGGGACAGCAGCAGTGGTAATGCCCTGATCACCAAACAAGGACAGGGGTGCTGAGAAATGCAAGGGAAGCTCCATGAGGCAAGGACTATAGCGATCTTACCCTCCATTTCCCTGTCCCCAGCACACTGCCTGGCTGAGGCCACAATACAAGGTGCTTAACTTTCCAGGGCAGTGAGGCTGTGCTCTCACAGTGCAGCCACATCTACACCCTTTGACCTGGCAACAGGGAAGCTCTAAACCAGCCTGTCCTATTTCTAAAAGCGTGAATCCAGGTGAAGAATGTCATGGAAGCTACCACCTGGGATGAACCTGTGATGTGTATAGGCTTTGTGGAAAGGGAAGAAACACCTAAGAGCTGTACCTCTCCTGGACACGGAAGGGTCCACTTCCACGCCTTTCTCATAGGGAGTCCCGCCATTCAAGAAGAGCTCGTAAGTTCTAGAAAAGAAAAACCTGTTGTGGGGGTTATGCTTTACGGGGGGTTTTGTGAACACTGCAGTCAGCAGTAAGATATATTTGAGCAGAAAGGTATTTACAGACATGATATTGATGTCTCCGTGACAAAGGGAGACAGCAGTGGGTCCTTTAGGTGCCATCTCGGTCAACAGACTCTTTCCTCAACACAAACTGTAGAGACTTTATTTTTTTACATGAAAATGAGAAAGATTAATTGAGGTTATTTGACTTTAATGACAATTAACAACCGCTCTGAATATATTTTCAAGTGACTTGAATCATTATTGGAAACAAAGCTATTATGAATTTCTATTATTTTTAAAATCTAAAAGTGATGTGTATAATGTTATAAAAAAAGTCCCTCCCCATCTTTCTTTCCAACTCTGTTACATCTCCTGCTCTATCTTTTTCTATGCAAAGGCAAACAGATATACAGGATAGTTAATTTCAAAGCTAACACATGCCTCCCCCACCCCCGTCCTGGGCATCTAAAGCAGGGCTGCCTGAAAAGGAGAAGGTGAAAAAGTAAAAAGAGTCAACAAAAGGCCAATAACATGTCAATAATAAGTCAGTACATATCAGTTATAAGCATCAATGTCAATGGCCTCAACTCACCAATTAAGAGAAATAAGACTGGCAAAATGGAATAAGAAGAAAAAGCCAACAATACGTTGTATACAAGAAACACACCTAGTGCAAAAAGAAGTCCATAGACTGAAAGTGAAAGGATGGAAAACAATTCTCCATGAGACAGGAGCCCAGAAAAAAGCAGGGGTAGCAATCTTATTTGCAGACAAAGCAAATTTCAAACCAAAACTGATTCTAGTATTATTGATGTAGGACGATACTGTATCATACCTCTGTGAATGTAAAATATCTTGTACCTGCTTTATGATACGTAGTAGTGACCGTGCTTTATCAGAGCTATTTTTAAAGACATTACTCTAGAATGTTCTCTTTCCAGATGATGATTAAGATACTAATTTAAAAAAATGGTGCCAGCTACCACAACAGCAACAGAACTTTGCTGTTATCTGGATATTATTCTTTTCTTTTTGTTTTTTTAATGGAATGTGCTGAATGTCTATAATTTTGTTCAGATGACTGCAGAACCTGGAGAAGCTGTTGTTGTTATTGATGCATAACATACTGCTATTATTGGTCTTTTTATATATATGTATATATATATATATACATATATATACTTTTTATATATATATGTATATATATACACTTTTTATATATATATGTATATATATACTTTGAATTTTTGGAAACTTTAACTGTTCTGTCAACTTTGGAAAAAGTTATCCCGATTTACTGTGTTGAGACGGCATTGTACAGAAATTGACAGCCATATTGGTCTAGAAATGTTAACTTTTTGTAATTTTTATTTTTATTTTTTTCCATTTGTACAGGGGTAACACATCGTACTAAATAGGTAAGGTCATATTTACATGGGTTTGATTACAGAAACTAATAAGGTATTCTCTAAATAATGAAAAAAAAGAATAAGACTACAAGAGAAAGAAGCAATTTAAATATGTTCAGGGACCATTTTCATCTCCAGAATTAAGGATTATTTTAATGTTACATCATTGCCTTTTCTCTTTTACTTTCCTTTTTAGTTTTATTTTAGGATTCCCTATTTTTAATGTTCACACAGAGATTGCTTTAACTGAAATACCGAATAGTTTCTCTGGTGTGAAAAACTATAATAGTACACAGGATCCTAATGAGATAATTAATAATGTGAAATAGGAAGTGAAGGGCTAAAGGTACAGGGAAAGTGGGAAGGGTGGGGGAAAGGTAATAAGGGAGAGGAAAAAAATATGAGAAACTGAAAAAATGGAAATAAAGTGTTTGTAAATGGGGAGGGGAGGAGAGGGTAAAGGGAGAGCAGGGACAAGGGGAAAAAATGAGAACCAAGACCTGTCATATGAAGGTACAGGATCCCAATAATGAATGTAACTGTACTGTATACCTAGAGTGTACCAATAAACTCAGTAAAAAGAAAAAAAAAATAAATCAGGGCTGCCTGTAAAGATTACCACTGCATCACACCTGTAGCCCTGAATGCTTCTGTTCTCAAGCTGCACCCTATTAAGTGCAGAAAACTGAAGAAAACCAAAAGGCCCCTTTAATCCTACCACACCAGCACCCCAATTCTGGTCCAGTCTACCTGCGCCCACCTGTAGAAGCTAACAAATAGTTTCTAGTGAACAAAAGTGGAGCCGCAGTATTCAAGCCCGTTTTGTGCTCACATTTTTGTCTGCTACACTCTGGAAGCATTTCAGTAGTAATACACAGTGCTCTACTTCACTTAAATAATCCATGTGACTTCACTTTTAGAAAGATGGAGATGGGGCCAGGAATTCAGCACAGTGGTTCTACCACCTGCCTTGCAAGCTCAAGGAACTGAGTTCAATCCATGGTACCAAAACAAAACAAACAATAGAAAGATGGAGATATATTTTCCGTATTTCTCCAATTAAGTACCACTAAAAGCCCCCTGATCATGTTTTCTAAACAAGGCACAAGAAACCTGGGTTTCTACATCCACCCATACTAATGGGGTACCCCTCCCACTCCAACCCATGGGGTGATCCCGAGACAAGAAGCAGTCAGGACTTTTACCTCTGCCTGTTGGTAAGAAGGCCATGTGGGGAGTGCTACTGAAAGTGACCCTCCTAATGAGCCTTTGGGATCAGAACTATTCCCCCACCATCAAAGACAGCTGAAGTTCAGGCCTCAAAACATTACAGACCACAGCCCTGCTTCCTGCCCATCTGCCTGCCAGCCCACCCCTGTCTCCTCTGTGAATTCCCTGTTTATATCCAGACTTAGAGCTTTATTTCATATGAATTTTGAAATAAATTAATTTTAAGATAGATCTCTATCTTATTAATTTTCAAGAGCTCTTTCTGTATGAGGGACAACAGGATTCTTACCACAAATATTTGCTTCCAGTCTGTCTTCTGCTCCTAAAATTTAAATTTGTTTACAGTTTGCCACTATAGTTTCCATGTCCTACCTCAAAACCCTGGGATTAGCTTTCTCACTCTGTGAAGAGAATTAGGCTGTGTTGGCAGCTCAGGGAAATGTACCAGCACATAGGAAATTTCTGACAGGGTATTCTCAGCAGCCAGCCAATGCAAACATCTCTAAAACACCAACTCTGTGTAATTTCCTCCTCCCCAGGTGAAACTGTACGGGCTGTCCTTAAAAGACACTTTAACCAACACTCAAGTCAACACTGAAAGTCCTTTCCCCAAAACTTGCTGAAATGCAAACAGAACCAACCGGAGGCACCCAGAAACTAAGAAATGAGCTTCTACAAAACTGCTTATTGGCAAGGAACACACAGCCCACTTACTTGGCTGGAATAGGAATGCCGCTGGCGTCGAACAGCTTCAGAAATGCCCATCCACAACTTAACTCTCCTCGTTCACCAGTTGACTAGGAAGTAAGAACAAGTATGTGACTCAGTGTCTGCACCAGTCAGATGGAAAAGCACACACCAAGTCCACTGCAAGGGACAAAACACGTGTTCACCCATCGTTTTAAGCAGCTCTTCCCCAGAAAATACGAGACCTAACAGACGTCCACCTCTCCCCTAGGCCAGATGTTAAAGATGGTACTTCAAGAGACAATTGTATTTTGTTGCAATTGCTCTTGAAAAATCCTTAAGCCTGATGAGGTGATCACAATTGCTTTTGGATGTTGAGTGCCATAAAACTTTTGTGAACTTTTCTCAAATCACATCAATACCACTTGTTTTCACTTCCGGGTAGAATGCAGAAAAGGCTTTCTTGCTCAGAAGTTTTTCCCCACTGTCAACTGGCGGAGGCCACTGGGGCTTGGGGCCCTGCTCCTCCCCCATCCTACCCATCTGCAATACACATAAATGAGTTTGTCTTATAGAACTGCAATGGTAATATAGCACCACTAATATAACCTCTCTGTTATGATTCTCTGGGTTTGGGGGGGCCAAGTTATTAATAATAATATTAATTTTTTTGAGACAGGGTCTTACTGTGTAGTTTAGGCTGGTATTGAACTGAGTATGTAGTCCAGGCTGGCCTCAAACTCACAGTGATCCTCTTGCCTCAGTCTCCTGAATGCTGGCATCACAGGCATGCATCAGGGTGCCTGACAGAGGCCAACTTTAGATTCTACACTTCTCAAGCTATTATTAGAACGTGCAGATGTGGATTTACTAGCACAGCTCTCACCATGCGTTCAACAGTTCATGGGACTTGTTAATGCAAGTTTCTGGTGTGCTCTTAATAAAATGATCGCTTTGCCAGGTTAATAACTCACGGTTACAAAGCTAAGAGGACTTGGTCCCTGAGGAAAGAGGTGACCAAGCGCTGAGCTGGAATGCTTCTGTCACTTTTATGACTTTCTACACAGTCCAAGCCAATTGTCATGCTTTAAAAGCATTAGTGTTTACTAGTGCCACAAATGCAAACAAATGCCACTTTAAACGCCACTAAGAAGGTAGCACTATCTAAAAAATTAGAATCACTGTCAGTCTCACTCAAGGGATTAAAATTCTATTACACAGAAGCCTTCTAGTATTTTACCTGTAAATACAGACATATTTCTAACACTTTCCTTTTAACTGGGACATTAGAAAGTTTTATCTTTCAATTGACATACATTGCGAATATAAGAAATTCCAAGTTCAAACAATATCCCGAGGTCTGGAGATGAAGAATTGGACCTGATGAAACAATCACCATCGAGCAAGCAGGGCAAGATGCCAGTAACCTGCAACAACAAAGAAACCAAAGTCACTGACAAAAAAAGGGAAAGTGGGGCACACATTCAGCCCCATCCATCTGAAAATGGTTTGGGCCTTTGCATTATGATAAAGGTCTTTTAAGGAAAATAAAAAGCAGATATACTGGATCTATCTTCTATACCAATGATTTGAAATAAAAAAATTTATTTCAAGGGAATACTGTTACTTTCACTTCCTTTTTGCATCGTGCAGAGTCACTATGAAACAAATATTTCAAGTGGGTCCCAGGGTTATAAAGCACTTTGCATACATCATAAGCTATTTACTTAGCCACTGCTCTGCATAAACAGAGAGATGAATGCACATCTTTGCTCAGCTCTCTTGATGCCTGTCATGGAAATGTTCCTTTCCCTTTTGCTCATCCCTTCCCTTTCCCTAGGTAACCAAATCTCAGCTTCTTGCCTAAATAGTCCCACTCATCCTTCAAAGTCTATCTTCTCTTCTATAAAACATTCTCTAGAGATAAGGCTAGAATTAACCTCACCTACCTGGGTTCCAAAGCACTTAGAACCCCACTGCCACTGCAATCGGTGAGTGCACAGTGCCTATCCCATGGGGCTCCTTCAACACTGTGCACCGGGGCCCAGCACTGGGCCTGGAACAGGGCAAGAGCACCACAGATAGAGGGAGTTATCATTATTCACAGATGTGCTTCTTCTCCACTAACCTGCAAACTCCCACACTCCTGGGATGAATGCCTGGCACTTAAGAGTGGCTTAACTACACTCAGCAGGTATTATATACTTATTCATCCTCCAAAAGCTCATCTCTATATTCTGGGAAAGGACATGCACATGCAGCAAGGTGGCCAGGCCTTGCGTACCACCTGTGTCCCCTTGCCAAACTTCTACCTTGCTTTAAAACCTTCTGATGCAACAAGAGGAAGGGCACTTAGAAGTTTTCAGGGTGTGGTAACACAAACACATTAGTCGTGGGGGCGGGGAACAAAATACTAAAGTAACAAAACTTCCGCAGTAAAAATCAAGTAAAGTAAATTATACACAATTAATACTGAAAAAAGAACACAGAGGGCCAGGGATTTAGCTCAGTGGTTCTGCCGCCTGCCTCGCAAGTTCAAGGACCCAAATTTGATCCTGGTACCAAAAAAAAGAACATAGAGACAGCTTTGATTCACTGGTGCCCATGAACCCTGAGTCAGTGGTGTGAAACCCTATCCTAGTGGTGACAGTCCCTGGGCATCACCTTCAATTTTATCTGGAAAACACAGCTGTTAGCAGCACAGTGTGAAGAGTTCATTTCTGAAAAACACCCCACTTCATAAACTTTATCTTCTTGTTTTCATGTTTCATCAAATGGGTATTTTCTAAAATTGACATCCACTGAGTGAGATGATTCATATGAATTACAGCATGGGTGAGTCAGGAATATGAATAACTTTTTATCTAAGGCTTCAAGGAAGACTAAAGAATTTAAAGATTTAAATCTGGGCCCATACATCCTGTGCTACATCTGTCACACTGATCTCAATGGCAGAATACTTAACAGGTGAAAGAAGTTCATCTCTCATCACATCCACTCAGTAGACTACCTACCTGGGGAGAAAAAGCCCAGGTTTTGGGCTTTTTAGGTTGCCATGTGGCTCGGACTGTATGAATGTTGCTCAGGACCTGAAATGAGATTTTCCCATTTGAAATCATGCTGTAGTTTCTCTGAAATATCAATACTTCCAAGTCCTGGAGTGTCAACAGTGGGAAAGGGGAGCTTTCAGTTTTTATTTCATGCAATTCTGTGTTGTTTCTTTTTTTCTTTTTACATTAAGACCAATGTGCATACAACTTTTGAAATCCTTAGTGAAAAACAAGTGTTCCAACATTTATTAATAAAACAATGAAGAAACTAATAAAATGAATTCAGACTTGGACCCTGTGCCTGTAATAAATTGGTGTAAGTGAAATACTTAAGAGCTGAGAGTGAAATTTCAGATAGAAATGGTCTTTTAAGAGATGTCCTTTGCCCTGTCACTAAGACAGACACTGCCATCAGCTGGGATACACAATGTATTTTTCTTCAAGATTCTAGGCTGTGAATCATACTCTTCCTGCAATTTACTCTTTTATGCAATGCTACATGCGAGAGGTTCACCCTGCAGTTTACATAAAACAGTGAAACACAAAAGGAGCCAAACATTATGTAAAACTTTATGTCAAATTCTGGAAAGTTATGGCCAATTAAGTTTGAATTGATTTTATTTTTTAGAGAAGTTTAGTTTAAGAGAAGTAAACAGAAAGTACTTATTTTTTATTTAAAAAACCAGAAGTACAAAGGACAAACTGGTTGGTACCAGCAGAAGTAGGTAGTACAGCCACAGGACCCTTGTTGTGTTAGTCTCTGCACATTTTTGGTGCATTTGAAACAGTTCACAATTTAACAAATATTGATAATATCATTAAAAATCAGAATGGGATGTAAATGGAAATGAAAAGAATTAAACAGAAACTGGAAAGTAGTATTCTAAGATACGAAAGATTCTAAGTGTGAGATTAAGGTTTGTCTTTTATTTCTCTTTTTATTGGCAAAGATAATTAGATGATGTGTTTTTTAATGAATACTTAAGGTTTCAATTAAATTTTAAAAGGGTAAAACATATAATGGTGGTTAATTATGAAACATGTCAAACATACCAGACTAGATAAAAGAACCTTATAGGGAACAGTCAAACACTCATCACCCAAATTCTGCCAACAACTTTTTGCTATCCCTGTTTCATCATATGTATCACCTATCCACCCATCAATTTTCCTTATATTCGGATGTACTGTGAATTTACAGACATTACTAAATGTCTCTGATCTCCGCCATACATATTAATTAAAATTGAGTTTTTGTTTATGTTCTTGTTTGACATAAAATCTAACAATGAAAGTCACGATCTTATGTTTATTTTATGTGTGATGTCAAGGGTACAGAGACGAAGGTAAGCTGGCTAGGGGTCAGGACCCCAAGAGTGACACAGTGGGTGCCATTAATGGAGCCATGGGGGGAGTCTTCAAGGCTATCAGGGCTCATAGTCAGAGGCCGCCCTTCCCCTGGTGGGAACAGAGGCCAAGAGCAGCACCTGGGCTTCCATGATCACCTGGCAGAAATAAGGCAGCCCCCTGCTTCCCCTGCCAGCCTGGTGTCAAATTCTGGTTAAACGGAACTTTTAAAAATTTTTTTGAGACAGGGTCTCACTACATAGTTCAGGCTGGCCTTGAACTGTGTAGCCCAGGATGGCCTCAAATTCCTAGTGATCCTCCTGCCTCAACCTCCTGAGCACTGGGATTATATATGTGTATGTCACCATGCCTAGCTTTAAGAGACTTTAAAGTCCAGAAACTCTTAACTACTCCAGTATCCAGAATCTAAAAAACACTGCTTATCTTACCAAGAAAACCAGGAAAACCCCAAATTGAATAAGAAAGGTCACACAAAAGACACCAACACTAAGACAACATAGATATAGGAACTAAGACTTTAAAGGAGTCAAATAAAAATATGCTAATAAACAACTCTGGATGTGCTTGAAACAAACTTAAAATATAGGAGGAAATACAGTCTTAAAAACAAGGAAGTCTTGACGTAAAAAATGGAAGATATAAAGAAGAATCAAATGGAAATTTTACAACTGAAAAATATAATTAAGACAAACAACCCCCAATACTACTCAATAGTAGAATAGAGAAAAAGAGACAATAATCGATAAATTTAGATAAGAAAATAGAAATTACACAATCTGAAGAACTGAAATAAAGTGAGTAAAAGACAGACATTCAGAAAGAAAAAGAAAGAAGGAAGAGGGAGGGAGAAAATCTCAAGAACCTGTGGAATTATAACAGAAGATGTGATATGTTTCATCAGCATCCCAGAGGAGAGGAGAATTTGGAGTTAAGCATTTGAGAAAATAAATATTGAATAACCCCCCAATTAGGCAAAAAAATATAATCCCATAATTTAAAAAGCTGAGCAAATTCCAATGAGGACAAACCCAGAAATTCATGCCAAGTGCACCATAAACTTCTAAAAAATAAACACAAAGAAAATATGTGGGAAGCAATGAAAGAGAAACAACACCCATATTCACCTCAAGGCAGAAACGATTTGAATGGATTTCTCACCAGAAACCACAGAGGCTAAACAGAGGCTAAAAGGAAGCAGCACAGTATTTTTCAAATACTGTCAAAAGAGAAGAACTGTTAATCCAGAACTGTGAGAATGAGCCTATTCTCAGAAAAAGTTTAAGAAATCGCTAGCAGACTGCCCTAAAAGAATGGTTGAAAGAAATTCTCTAAACAGAAAGAACATGATTTAAAAAAAAAGAATCTCAGAACATCAGAAAGGAAGAAAGATCAATGAAACCAGTAAAAATAGGAGTAAATACTGTAGATTTTCTCTTGGGTTTTCTAAACTATGTTTGATGGCTGAAGCAAAAATTAATAATTATTATTATTATTTTGAGACAAGGTCTCACTATGCAGCCCAGGTTGACCTTGAATTTGAGGCAATTCTCCTACCTCATCATCCCAAGTACTGGGATTGCAGGTGTGTGTCACACATTTGGCTGCAAAAATTACTAAGAACATACAATGTCATTTTTAATGCCTGTCTGTCTTCTGGTAGCTACTTTTTTTTTTTTTTTTTTTTTTTTTTAATACTGCCCAGAGTTTCCAGGTGCTGTGCTGGGGTTTGGTCCTGGAAGTGGAGTCCCATTAATTAGTTTTAACAACACTGCTTATTTGTAACTAGGCTCAGGTTTATTAAAGAAGCACTCAAGTAAACAGCATGAGTATTACATAACTACTAAGTATGTTCTATAACTTCTCAATTTGGAAATCTAATTTAGTTTTATAAATTAACTTGTACGATTTTGACATAAATGTCATTTTTATATGCAAAATCAAGTTCTAGCCTTTGTTTTATATATGTGAGAACTAGGAGAAGTATAAGAAAAAGTAGTATCAAACTGGATGAAAGAGAAAGCAGGCATTCATCTCTGCTTGGTCAGTGGCAACACCTATTGGCTCGATTATGGCAGAGGTTTCGTGCCGACTGTAGAAAGGAGATCACAACTATTCAAGTTCAATGTTCAGATGAAAGAAAGGCATTTTTACTATGCTGGGAGCCATGCGTACACTCAGGATGAGTGGAACCAAGCCCACATCAATTCCTCCAAGTTCGGTCCTCTGCTAGCGCTGCTATGCCACTGAATGCTGACACCAACCAGACGTGGAAGTGTGAGACAGCTGCTCTCCCTCCACTCTCCACAGCGGCCACCACAGGCTGTGTTGGTTCTTTCCTCACATCTCTCATCTCCACCTTGCTCTTGTAAGCCGTAAGCCCCACCCCTCACCTCTCACCCTTACCAAACACCTGCCATGCCCCACATGTGGACCCAAGGTGTCTGCCGAAGGAAGGAGAGACAGCAAGGCCAAGGCACTGGGTCAAAGCCCACGTCCATCAAGTGGGGAGCCAGGGCTCAGCTTAAGCAAAAGGGCTCCAGGTTTTGTTCTCTGGAAGATGACTTTGCTGTCCTTTGACTGCCATGCTGTGACACCCCCAACCCCCACAGGCTATTCATGGTCCTGCTGGCTCTTTCACTGAAGACCTGGTCACCCCTTGGATCTAGCTAAAGCCTGATTTTGCTGGAGACAGCTTTGACTACTGGCTCAAGAACTCTTTTCTAATGTAAGCATCTGGGCTAAAAGTTTCCCTCTAACAATGCTTTAACTATCATCTCAAAAGTTATATATTGCATGTTCATTTTTTCTACAGTACAAAATATATTCTAATTTCCCTTTTGACCTGTTTAGAAATTTTAAAATTTCCAAATAGTTAAGGATTTTCTCATTTATCTTTCTGTTACTGATGTCTAATTTAATTCCATGTGCTCAAAGACCACATATTGCATGGGTTTCAATTATTTCAAATTTGCGAGGTTTGTCTTCTGATCACCAATCTATCTTTGTGAATATTCTTTATGTACTTAAAAGAAAGTATATTTTACTATTTTGAGGTGAAGTATTGTACAAATACCAAATCAATCTAGTTAGCTGATATGTTATTCCATTCTTTTACAGCCTAAAATTTTCTGTCTGCTTGTTTATATCACTGAGAGAGGAGTATTAAAGTTCCCAACTATAATTGTGGCTTTACCTATTGCTCTTTTCAATTCTATTCATTTTTATTTTGTGTATTTTGAAGCTCCAATGTTGGCTGTGTTGTTAGGGTTGTCTTCTTGATGAATTATCTCTTTTATTTTATTAATAACTACTCTGATGTTAGTGTCTTTGAATGGTGTACCTTATTCCATCCTTCTACTCTTAACCTAATTACATTTTAATATTTAAGGTGGCTTCTTGTAAGAGCATATAGTTGGGGCTCTCTCAGTTTTAATTTGTATTGCTCTGATAATTTAGTATATGTTCAATGTCTTTTATATTCTTATTGGTTTGCCATGTTATCCTTTTTTGAAGTCCAAGTCTTTTCCTCATTTAAAAACAGGGTCATCTTTTGGTTTTTAGACACTCCTAACTTGTTCCTGACCATAGGAAAAATGTGTTCAATGTTTCACTGTTAAATATGATGATGGCAATTTAGATTTTCTTGTTGTCCTTGACAATTTGAGGAAGTTGATATTCCTAGTTCATAATTTTTCTAAAATTATGAATGAGCATTGAGATCTTTTTCTATAGAATATATAGAATAATTTTTCTATATCTATTGAGATATTCACATGATTTTTCTTCTTTGTCCTATTAATAAAACAAATTACAATGACTGATTTTCAAACATTTAATGTTGGTCACCCAGGTACACACATTTCAATTCCTGAAAGAGATTCCAACTGGTTATGATATGCTGTCCTTTTTATATGTTGCTAGATCTAACTGGATAATATTTTGATTAGGGTTTAGTTTCTGTATCCATAAAGGATATTACTCTCATAATTCTTTACGTCATATTTTGATATCACATTTTCCTGGATTTATGAAATGTGTTGGGAAGTATTTCTTTATTCTTTGGAAGAGTATGCATAAGATGAAAATTATTCATTCCTTAAATGTTTGGAGGAATTCATGACCAAAGGCCTCTGAGTCTGGAGTTTTCTTTATGGGAAGATTTTTTATTACAATTTTAATTTCTTTAACAGAAGTTAATTAACTCATTTCTTATGACAATTTCAGTAAATTATTTTTTAATGAAATTATCTATTTCATTAATGTCACATTTATTGGCACAAAATTTATATATCCCCTTACTGTTCTCTTAATGTCTATATAAGGTGTGGCTTTTCTATCCATATCAGAGGTTGATAACTTGTTTTCTTTCTTTAAAAACTTCCACTCTTATTAGGCATCTTTCAATTTCATTAATCTCTTAAAAGAATCAGTTTTTACTTTTTTAATTTGCTCTTTATTTCATTAATTACTAGTCTTATCATTACTATTTCTTCCTTTCTTCAGCATTAACTCACTGTTCTATTTTTAGCTTCTACTGTTGGTAGCTTAGATCACTGGCCTTAAATCTTTCTTCTTTCTAGTATATGCAATTAGAGCTATACACTTCTAAGCACTATTTAAGGTATGCCTCATGAAAGACAAACAAAATTTTTAAAAGCCATTCAGACTTGTTTGGTATTGTGTAGAAAGTAGTCTCCCAGGGCTGTTATCAAGAAATCACTCAATAACAAATGTTGGCAGGGTTGTGAGGAGAAAAGAATCCTTCTCCATTGTTGGTGGGAGTGCAGACTGGTGCAACCACTATGGAAGTCAATATGGAGATACCTCAAAGAGCTGGGACTAGAGGTTCCATTTGACCCAGCCATCCCTCTGCTGGGCATCTTTCCAAAAGAATTAAAAGAATCATATCACAGTGATGTATGCGCACCCATGTTTATAGTGGCACAGTTTGTAGTAGCTAAAACTTGGAAACAGCCCATCTGCCCCTCTGTTGGAAACTGGATAAAGAAGATGTGGTTTTTCTATAAAATGGACTATTACTCAGCCATAAAGAATGAGAAATTAGATTCATTCATAGGAAAATGGATACATATTGAGGATATACTCCTAAGTAAAATAAGTCACACATGTGCAAATACTGAATAGCTTCTCTGGTGTGAAAAACTACAGTAGTACATAAGATCCTAATGATATAATTGACCATATGAAATAGGAAGAAGAGGGCTAAAGGTATAGGGAAAATGGGAAGGGTAGGGGAAAGGTAATAAGGGAAAAGAAAAAAATATGAGAAAACAAAAAAATGGAAATAAAGTGTTTGTAAATGGGGAGGGGAGGAGGGGGTGAAGGAAGGGCACGGACAAGGGGAAAAAAATGAGAACCAAGACCTGTCATGTAAAGGTACAAGATCCCTATAATGAATGCAAATTGTACTGTATCCCTAAAATGTACCAATAAACTCAATGAAGAAAAAGAAAAAAAAGAAAAGAAAGTAGTTTCCCAGGAATCAGGGAGAGGTTGAATGAAAAAGGACACAAAGAGACAGAACAGAGCAACACTCTATATCTTGATGAGGGTGTTGGTCATACAGGTGTGCACATGTGTCAAAAACACAATGCTGTATATTTAAGGTCTGAGGTGCATACAACAGCAGAAGATATGCAATAGTGCCTTTTATAGGTGAAAAATAGGCTAAGTCTGAGGTAGTTGAATGAACCACTGTGGCTGCACCACATACATGGTACACAGATGTGGAGAGAGACTAGAGAAGAGAGCACCAGTGCCTTGTAGTACACATTTACCATGCGGCTTCATCAATACCACAGTGCTCTTCCCAACCTGGCGCACCCAGCCATCCTTAAGAGCTTACCCTGTTACCATCGAACACACAGAGGCGCACATGCCTACTGAGGACCTGAATGCTCGTTCCCGGGAGAGGAATCATCTTACAGCTAAATAGGGTCAGGACTAACGAAACACGGCTGGGTCTTGACATGATCTAAAAAAGGAATTAGTTTAAAAAAGTTTATTTTTGTTGCTTACAGTACAAATCTGTTTTCCAAAGTATCTTTTGCAAGTGTAGTTTAAGAAAATATACATAGAATAAAAAAAGACAATGAGGAAAAATGAGAGAAGTTATAATACTCTGTTCATTTAAAGTCAAAACCAGTTATTTCAGGTAAAATTTTCACAAAGTTCTATTTGAAATAGCCGCATTTTTCATAAGTACTTAAAAGCTGTGATGGACAGAAGAGGCAGTCGTAGCAGATCTAACATGTGGCTGACCATGGAAGCCCGATATTCCTGTTTCAAGGTTCACGCTACTGAATTTGTGTAAGTGTGTAAGTGATGGTTGGTTACCATGGCACAGCAGCCAAAAAAATCTAGCATCGATATTCCCCAGCTAAATGTTCCTTTTTAAAAATTCCAAGCAATTATCTACCTTGTTCTTTGAGTTCTTACCTGGCTCTGTTGACAGAGAGAATGTACTATTTGATGAGATTATTCAAATCTATTTCAAAGACAAGAGGTCAGATTATGAATAAATAAACTGACATTTTGGCTTTTTACTTTTTAAGGACACCCATGAATAGTTAAACTTTATAATCATGAGCCTTTTCATTTAAATTAATTTACTGTTGCAAATAATAACATCTAATGAGTTGTCACCTTTTTTAAGAAATGAGAGCTGAATATTTAGTTTTCTGAGCATAAATTTATAAAATTAAATGTACATTAAATAGACCAACATCTTTGCTGACTAAGCAAACAAAATACTTAATGCTAAGAAGGTTCCAGGACCTTCTGAGGTAGGGAGGAAAAGGGATGCTGAGGTCCTGCAGCGTCGGACCCCATAAACCTGACCAGTTGGTCCTCTTACTCTTCCCTTAGACTTCAGGGAAGGGAGGGAGACAAAGGAGAAGGTAAATGGGAGGGCAGTGATGTGTGCTAATGAAATATTGAGAGTATTTTCTACTTCAAATACCAAAATAGCAAGAGTCCTTTACTTTGAGTCCTACCCTAAAAACTATAACAACAACATTCTGCTGACTTCCTTCTTCCTACTTAATTAACATAGTATTTCAACAGTAGTACTGATAATGACACTTGCTGGGTCCATCAGCTTTTGGTTGCTGTAACTAGTATCTGAGACCATCGCTTTAAGAAAGAGGAAATGTCTGTTTCGGCTCCCAATTTGTGTCCACGTCAGCCGGCCTCACTGCTCCTAGGCACTGCAATGAGGCAGCACAACAAGATGGTCAGGAAGCAAAAGGGAGAGGGGAAGGGGCTGGGGTCTCGATATGCCCTTAATGGCATGCCCGTGACCTGTGTCTTCCTACTAGGTCCTGATCACAGGCTGGCAAAACCCGGAAACGATGGGCACACTTCCAAACTACAGAACTCACCCACATTTACTTACCATGTGTTGGGCATGGTTCTAAGCCTTCACATATAAAATAATTCTGAGGGTGGGCCGGGGATTTAGCCCAGTGGTGCCACCGCCTGCCTTGCAAGTGCAAGGCCGAGTTTGATCCCCGGTACAAAAAGAAAAATTCTCAGGACAATTCTACGTTGGAAATATTGTTGTGCCCATTTTTACAAACTAAGAAACAGGTAATGACTAAGATCAAACCTCGGCATTATTTCCTTTATAACAGTGGGAGAAAGAAAGCAATACAGAAAAGAGACAAGACAAAGTCAAGGTGCCAAGTGCAAGTTTTACCTATGAAAACATCACGTTTAAAAATTCCAACCTAGAAACAATTCTTTGTTTTCTATAGTGCATCCTTTTAAGTATTATTCATATACTTGCACCAGGATGAAACCTGGAAAAGTTGTACCTGTACTGATTGCAACTATACTCACAGTGCCAGACTTGGTGTCCCACACTAGGTCTCGGAAGGCCAGCTGTGATGCTGTGAGCTCTGGCTGTAGGAAGTAACTTGCTTGAAATTGATTCCCTGTAAAAATGATTCTTTCCTTGATTTTCTTGCAAAAAAAGGAATAAAATTTAAAACCCAACATTCATGTTACTATGTTATGCTACAAACTTAGGAAACAGAAACTTCCAAAGTGCTAAACTGCTTACTAGGAACCTGCTTTCTGACACAGATGTTCAATCCAGACTTATTAAAACAATACAAAATTTTAAAAAAATAAATAGATAAAAGATCATAAGATAGTGTAAAGAAAGATCTTATAGAATTTTTAGGTCAATAATATGCCTCGTGAAGATGATTCATTCAAGTATTTTGGTAAAATGCAGAAATTTGTAAGCATTTTGTAGATTTTGGATATACATATACATACATATATATGATCACTGGTTCCACTTAACACAAAAAAGCATTTTACCCTTTTTTTCCATAGTTCAATTATGAAGAATACTTTTTTTTGGTACGGGGGTTTGAACTTGGATCGTTGCACTTGTGAGGCAGGCAACAGAACCACTGAGCTAAGTCCATGGCCCATGAAGAATATTTCTTATAAAATCATTTAGTCATTGGCCAGGTGTGGTGGCGCATGCCTATAATCCCAGCACTCAGGAGGCTGAGGCAGGAGGATCACTGTGAGTTCGAGACCAGCCTGGGCTACACAGTGAGTTCCAGGTCAGTCTCAACTACATAGTGAGACCCTGTCTCAAAAAAACAAAAAAAATCATTTAGTCATTCAACAAATAACTTTAGAGTTCCTGCTTTGTGCCAAGTGCTATGCTAGGAGCCAGAAATAGAATGATGAATGAGATAGATGTGTACCTTGCCCTTACTGGCTGACTGCAGAGAGAAGGAGAGGATGCTCAAGTGGAAGGAAGTAGGGGGACCGACACTGTAGTGGCTTCTTCCCCCTTGTAAGGTGGGATCTACCCTGAGATGGTAGGATGGGCTGGGCAATTTAGGGAGCATCAAGAGGAACCTTTTTAGCAAAGGCAACCTCAGTATAGCACTTTATGGATAACTGTACAGTCAGGTAAACAGCAGATGCCTTGCCCCACAATATTCCACTCTGAAAGGAGCTTATAGCCAAGAGTTGCCAACTAATGGGAAATCCAATACTGAATAAGGAATCAGAAGCTTCAAATGGAGAGAAAATCAGAAAAGTCTCTCTATGAAATGGAGCATATAAAGGGAGTCTTTGGCAGAATGGGCCAAGGCTGGTTTTTAAAGGCAGCCATGTAAGGTGTGTTGGGATACTAATGGGGTAACAAGTCAGCAGGAGGCAGCAAGGGAGGTGAAGGCTAAAGACACTGGTAAGGGCTAATAATTAAAGGAGTCATGTTTTCGAAAAAAAGAAAGAGGCAGGGACCCAGAGCACAGATAATCAGACTGGCCTCTGATAGGATCAGAGAGGGGCCTTTGTTTGCTTTCACAGGGAAGAAAGGAAAAGATGAGTGCCAGTAAGAGGTGAGATTCAGCATCTTCCTCAGCTTATTTTGGCTGTAACAGAAAAACAAGACTCCAACCCTTACTGCTTGACCCCAGGTGTGCATGCCACCTGACCCGTGTTACCTTCCTCCAGCAGCTGGGAGAGTGTGGAGGGCCGGAACCCTGCAGGAATGGCCCCCATCGTGGTCAGCACATCAACAGTGTTTATCTGCTGAAGACAGTGGAAACTAAATGAATCTGCTTGCTCTCATTCATGTTTTCTCACCTCTGTTATACAAACACTTAAGACTTTAGGGGGAAGACAGTGCAGGTGGTCCCCAATTCCTGAAAGCAAGACCCATTCCTGAGTCCTGCCCTTCCCAAGGACCTGAGCCTCAGGCAGAGCTCTCAAGCAGAACTCTATCCTAGACTGTCTGCTTCAAGGCATCCTTGATCAAAACAGACCCTTCTGTTCCAGTCCACCATGCACGGCCATCTAACAGAGGAGTGAACACTGAGACTGACACACACTGAAGAATTAAGGGTGTTTTGTGTATATGAACACACACACACACACACACCAGAATGTCCTTATAAGGAAAATGTGGAATCAAACACCATCAGGAAGATTACCTACTAAGCTAGTAGTGATTACTTGAGGGAGGATTTTCATTTTTTTCTATAATTTTTAAGTGGTAGGATTATAGTTCTTTTCTTACTTTTCTGAGTTTGTCAGATTTTTCAAACAGCAAATGTATTCTTTAGTGAGATGACAGAAAATTCTGGTAGGATCAATGAGAATAGTCCTAAGCCCTCAAATCATGCCAAGAATCAGTTTATCTATTCTTTTCTTGAACAAAAGACCTAATGAGAAGCATTACTTGGAACACAGATTTACTGAAGCATAAATATGTGCTTATCCCTTACCTCCATTGCACACCTTGAATGCTATTTAGGACCTACACTTTCTTTTCCATTTTGAATCTGAATGCAATCAGAGATACTTCATAATGATACAAAAACAAGATACCAAATACATGTCACTTGCCAAACAGATTAGAAGATGTGAAATATGAGACATCATCAATAAGGCAGGAGATACCAACCTCTGAGATAGCTTTTTGAACAGCACTCCAATGGGAATCAGTTCTGAGGAGACAAAACAGCAAGTGACAGTCTATGCCATTCATTCAGTTAGGGGAACTGCATCGATCAAAGAACAGAGTTCATTATCATCAGGAAATTCTCAAAACTGAACAGTGTCTAGATAAAACCAAAGTAGGTTAAGTCCACTAAAATATACTGCGAAATTAAAATGGTAGTGATCTTTAAGCAAACAATAATATGAAAAACTCTCAAAAATAAGCTGTCTCCATTTTAAGAAAGTTTCTAAAGGATGTAACTCAGTAGTAGAGCACTTGCCTAGTATGTATGAGGCCCTGGGGTCAACTCCAGCACCAAAAAAAAAAAAAAAAAAAGAAAGACTAAAGAGAAGTCTTCAGTTATTTATAAAAGCAAAGTAAAACGTTTTGCAAAGCTGCTGTGATGTCTTCTCCCACTCTATACCTTTGCTTCACTTCAGTTCCATCTGCTATTTCATCTCCCACCTCCACATCCTCCTCACTGTCTTCTTCACTTGATTCTTGGTCTTCTTTTTCTTTATTATAGGGCTAGAAAATCATTGAAATATGAAGTGCTTTTCAATGAATGTAAAAATCCATCAATAAAAATCTTACTACTCTCCAAAAGATTCAAGCATAGAAGGGAATTTACACTACGATAGGGAAAAATATATAACATATAGTTAACAATTTCACTATTTGAAAAAATGGCAAAGACTGAGGAAGTCAGAGTTTTAACCAAAATAAATCCAGATGGAACTTATCCAAATGAAAAAACTAAGATAAAAATCAAAGAAATATGAAAGTGTTAGAAGAAGGTAATCTTGGGATGAGGAAATCCTTTCCAATTAAGATATCAAAACCCAGGGCCAGGGACGTAACTCAGTGGTGCCACCACCTCTTTCACAAGCACAAAGTCCAGGGTTTAATCCCTGGTACCAAAAAAAAAAAACAACAAAAAAAAAACCCAAAACCCAAATCATAAATAGGAACACTGACAGATTTAATTAATAAAAAAAATGTAGCTGAAAGTCAACAAAGAAAATAACTAACATAAATTTCTAGGGGTTAATAGTTCTATTATTTAATTAATTTATTTATTTAGGTACTGGGGCTCGAACTCGGGTCCTTGCACTTGTGAGGCAGGAGGAGGAACCACTAGGCTAAATCTCCAGCCCAATAGTTCTATTATTAAATATTACAGAAACTTTTATGAGTCAATGAGAAAAAAGATTTCTAAAAATCCCCTAGAAAAATGGCCAAAAGACCCAAAAAGGCAATTCACAAAGAAAAACAAAGGGTCACATAACATATGAAATGATGCTCAACTTCATCAGGAATATAATGAATGCACTTAGAAACAACGAGACTGTGTGATTTATCAATCACACAGGCAAAAATTAAAAAGATTAAATAGAGCTAGCATTGGCACATGTATGGGGAACATTCAGATGTTGGAGGGGCGACTATAAATTGGCAAAATAAATCACTATATAAAAGTGTAGGGCGGGAATTTAGCTCAGTGGTGCCACCATCTGCATTGCAAGTGCAAGGACCAAAGTTCGATCCCTGGTACAAAAAAAAATAATGTGTGTGTGTGTGTGTGTGTGTGTGTGTGTGTGTGTGTGTGTAAACCCTTTGAGGCAGAGACAAATATCAGGAATTTATGTAAGAGGAGGAATTAAGTAAGTCTGCCAGATATATGTGCAGACTGATCAAAGCAGAGGCTGCTTGTTGGCCAAGATCTAGCCTCCATGCCTTCCTCTCCAGCAGAATCCCTGACTTCAGCAAGCCTTTCGGGCAGCCAGGTGTTGCCATGCAACCAGATGCTGGTCAATGAGATAATTGGAAGTTTTTTGTGTAGCTTCCAGGAAACCTTCTTAAGGGGGTAACAGTTCATGTCTTTTGGCTCCTCCTTCTTTCCCTTTCATTGCTTAGAATCATTAAAGGATCCAGAAGCAGACTTAACAGGAAGAGCTGCCTCACATGCAGCTACAGATTAAATACCACAGAGGGCCTTAACCAGTGATTGTCTGTCTTTATACTTCTTCCACTCTTGAGAGAAATGGGCTGGGAGCTAATTGTAGCTTCTCTGCAACATAACAGACAGTGATTAATGGTTGGAAACAACCTGAGACCAGAATACCTGCTGCCTCTCAAAACCTGACCTAGACCTGTCCTGTACATCCAGAAGCCCTTTACTGCATGTGGCTACTGAGTCTTTCACTTTAGTCCAGATTGAGATGTGCTATAAAGGCCACACACTGGCCTTTGAATTTAATATAAAAAGTAAATAGCTCAATATTTTAAACCATTGACTGTATGTTAAAATTATATTTCTGATATATTGGATAATATAAAATATATTATTAAGAACAATTCCATTTATTTCATTTTACTTTTTTTTTAATGTGGGTAATGAGAAATAGACATCTGGTCTCTCTCTCTGTTCCTGGAAGACACAAACCCTGGAATTTCCTGAATGATAGGGTGTTTTCTTGTTCATCAGGGGTTCCTTGAAACCATCCCAGTGGTTATGCTAACAGGCAACTCTAGCCAGTCTGCAGGCAGCTTCAGGGAGAGGGCTGGTTGCCAGAGGAACCAGCCGTGGGATTAGACATTGAAACTTTCAGCCCTGCACTCCAACCATTGGGGAAGAGAGAGGGACTGGAGATTGAGCTGATCACCAGCTGTCAGTGGCTTAACCAATGCAATTACTTGAAATCAATTAAACTAAATTAAAACTCCTATACGAAGTAGCCTGGGGATTTTCCAGGCTGGTGAAAACATCAAGATGCCAGGAGGGAGATAGGCCTAGGGATGGTGTGCAAGCCAACCCAGTCATATATCTTGTCCCATGCATCTTTTCTGTTGAGCTGTACCTGAGCTGGATCCTGTATGATAACCTGGCAAATGCAAGTGCAATCTTCCCTCAAGAGATCAGTTCCCGGACCCCCATGGAAACCAAACTTAAGGGTGCTCAAGTCTCTTCTATAAAATGGTCCAGTATTTGCACCTGACCAGTACCAATTTTCCTGTATACTCTGAATCATCTCTAATTACTTATAATACCTAACACCATGTGAATGTTATGTAAATGATTGTTACATTGTGTGGTATAGGGAATGATGACAAGAAAAAAGTTTGTACATGTTCAGTACAGATGCAATTTCTTTCCTCAAATATTTCTGACATGATGTTGATTGAAAGTACAGATGCAAAATCAGGGCTAGGGATTTAGCTCAGTGGTTCCATTGCCACCTCATAAGCACAAGGATCCGAGTTTGATTCCCAGTACCAAAAAAGAAAAAAAAAGATGCAAAATCCTTGGCTACAGGGATGAACTGTAAAGTGTAAAATATTTTCCTGAGTTCTGCAAATCACCATAGTGAATTCCAGACCCCTAAAGAAAGGTGGAGGAGATTCTTGAATTTACAGACAATCAGTTAGAAGGACTGGTGGCTTCTAAGGTTTATGCCTGGCCCCTGAACATGGTGCAGTCTCGCAGGACTGCGCCCTCACCTGTGGGGTTTGTGTTCCAGGAGTCAGGGTCAGAACCCAGCTGAACTGCTGAGCACCTCAATGGAGAACTAATGTAGAAAATGATATATATCTTTGGTACTAGAGAAAAACCTCACAGCTGTTGTCAGAGATGGTGTCAAGAAAAAGACCCCTCAATGTGGTTAGTGGAAGACTTAAAGTTCCATAGTGATGTGCATCTGAATTTTCCTGGACAGCACCAACCCAGACAGATGTCTACATTACTTGGCACAGATACTGGTTGTGCTACATTAGGAAATAATAAAAATAGGCTAAAACATGCTTGCACCCTAGGTTTGCATTTAAATTAGCTGGAAGTTAACACAAACTGGCTATATTTTACAAATAATAATAAATGCCTTGTTATGAAAAGCATTAACGCACAAAGTTTCATTCTGAAAATGTTCCAGGGCTCATGTGCATAAGAGTGTTTCACAGTGCCCAGACCCATTAATACACAGCTGGTTCTCCACACTCTATCTCTAAAAGTAAAGCAAATTCTGCACCTCAGCTCATTCAATAATCAATTGACCAAAAAGAATATAACAACATTTTATTAAAGATGAAAATAACTGAAGGAGAAAGGAGAGCATAAACAACAAAGACTCACCTCCATGTAGGTTTTGGGAACAAGACCTTCATTTCCTTTGGCATTCTTCGCAATCCACCAACCATCAGGCTTTTTTTCAATTATAAGGAGAACTTCCCCTTTCTTAAAGCAAAACAAAATAAAAATTCAAAAAGAAAACTCAATAGATGTGACTATTACTTTATTACTAATGCTTCAAAATGTATGTTGGAAAAAAGATAAAAGTATTTTTCGAATCCATTGCTTATCCTAATTTTTATTAAAATTTTTATTAAAGCTTCCCTACCACATTACCCTAAACCTACATGACTATAAATATAAATTGTTCCACTTCATTGCTTAACACACATTTGAATCATATATGAAATCATTTTCAAGGCCCCATATTTATTCCAGCAATTGGAATATTGTATAATGTCTTTGAATTTGTGAATCTCTTTGTAAAGTATTTTTCAGAAGCAGCATATAAATCCCTGAAGAAAATCAGTCTTGTTAAAAGTTAAATCCCATTTTGAAGCGAATAATAGTATTTTCCCAATATATCTATCCGGTGGATAGATATATTCATATTTTGAATATTTGTCCATGTATAAAAGTATCATCCAAATTAGAAAAACAAAGAATTTCTACTACTGGGGATGTTCAAAAGTAAAGACTTTCTTAGAATACACATTACTATCTAATGTGAATGGCATTTTCTGGGAGAATTTGAAAATAAAATCCTATTAAATCATAGGATCCTATTAAAATGTATTAGTTGTACAATATTCTTTTATATCTTATTAGTAGTAACTTGCAGGTAAATAAACATAAGTTTATATATTCATTAACAATTCTTCGACTCATTTTGTTAGCAGAAAACAGTCTCAAACCCCTCATCACCCTTTTTATTTTTGTTTTTCTGAGAAAGGGTCTCGCTGTGTAGTCCAGGCTGGGCTTGATCTTGTAATACTCCAGCCTCAGCCTCTGGAACGCTGGAATTACAGATACAGTGCCACCACACCTGGCTTCCAACCTCTTTAAAAACCACAATCTTATTTTTCCATCCTGCTTCCCATTTATTTGTGCACAGGACAAGCAAGTATAGATGCAACTCCCTTTCCTATCTGAGTCAACACAGCACCTCTAGCTACCTCTAGTTAAGCACACTGCCTGACTCAGTTGAATAACTCTGTACCTATGATGATCAAAAATAAATTATAAAGTTCTGCCCCTAACTGAGAATTATCAACACTAAAGCTATTTTTGAAACACTTTAGAAGAGGTAATTCTAATGACAGAATCTCATATTATTACTGCTTATAAATGACAATTATTATTTAACAGACTGAGCCTTAAAAAACTTAGATTCAGAAATATACAATGCAAGTGTACAAAGCTGGACATGGTGGAACATGATAATCCTGAGTTCAAGGTCAGCCTGGGCTAAACAGTGAGTTCAAGGCCAGTTTAATGTAGTGAGACCCTGTCTCATCCCCTGTACCCACACAGAATAAGCAGAATTTTCTTAGTCTATTTTGTGTGCACAGCTACTCTGAAGATTAGGTCTCAGACTTCTTCTACTCACCTTAAACGTAAGATCCCCAGCTTGCTGAGCAGTAAAATCCCCAAGAGCAATGTATTCTTTATTTGCTGCTTGTTTAAGAGATTCATCTTCCTGTTGCTCTTCCTCCTCTTCAGATTCTTCTTCCTCTCCAGCACTTTCTTCACTGTCTTCTTCTCCTTTGTCGTCATTGTCGTCATCATCGTCATCATCATCATCATCACCATCATCATCATCATCATCATCATCACCATCATCATCCTGTTCTTCTTCAGCAGAATGACCATCTTCCTCTTTTTCAGTAGGTGCACCTGTCCTGCAAAAAGCATTTCAAAAAGATAGGACCACTTGAAACAATATACAAGAAGAGACTGATATGAGCAGAGTTCCTATATGTAGAAGAACTGCTCCATTCTTAGAGCTGGCAAATTAAAGAAATAAGGGGGAAGTACAACTAATGGTTTCCACTACCTAGCTGAGCAGGTATGCCTGGAAGGACTGAGGGTGGATCTGTATCTGAACAAGGCATGTACACTGTAGAACATGAATTGGACTTGAAGCCAGGAAACTGGCAATTCCAATCCTGGAACCATCCATTCAGCAAATGTTCCTTGCACAACATTACAGTGCTTAGCACATGGGTCATGGGTTTAAATTCTGGTTCTATCTCCTTTTCCTCCCATGACCTTGGTAGGTTTCTTATAAGCTCTCCATTTCTCATTGGTAAAGTCAAGATAATAACAGAACCTATTCCCTAAGGTGGTCATAAGAATTAGTCAAGTTACAACCTGCAAAATCTTAAGAACAATGCCTGCCCATAGTAAGCTTTCCATCCAAGTCAGTTATGCTGATAATGATGCTGCAGGTCAGGTTCCATGTGAGACATGAGGGATAGAAAGATGGACCCATGCTAAAGGAGCTTATGTTAAGAAAGTCTAGGAAACAGGTAACTTCACTACAGCTCAACAGGTACTACAATAATACAGGCATGCCCAGGATGTTAAGGAATCAGACAAGAGAGACATCCAACCAGGCCATACGAGGGATCAGAAAAAGCTTGAATTAGGTCTTCAGGATTAGTTGGAATTAGTTGGGCAAAAAGAGCAGAAAGAAGGCAGAGGGAGAGGAGAAAGGAAGCTCAAGACCAGGGAATATTTAGTAGTTCACAAATGGTAGACCCTAGATAAGGCCAAGAAGAGGTGGGGAGAGTGCATTCCCTGTGTGGCTTATCTTCAAGGTAAGCAGTCCCTACAGTACAGGAGGAGAAGGGCATGGCTTTCACTTCAGAAATGAGACCTGGTTCCAATGTAGAAAGAGAGAGGAAGAAGGGCCCAAGGTGAGACGGCTGTTGAAAGAGAGAAATGATAACAGTATGAACAAAGAAAACAGCATTTAGGGATGAAGCAAAAAGGATGTAGAACGGGCCGGGGATTTAGCTCAGTGGTTCCGGTGCCTGCCTCACAAGCACAAGGACTGGAGTTTGATCCCCAGTACCAAACACAAAACAAAACAAAGGATGTAGAAATGAGGAAGAGAAAGATACCAAAATAATACACAATAATGGGGCTTGGGGGGAAATTGGAAAAGTCACTGAGCATCTCTGACCTTTGAGTGTTCATTCAATATTCAGCAATCTAATTAAACACTTACTGGGCATCCAAGGTGTGCTTGGCTATTAGAATCAGCAGAACTTTGCCTCCTAAAGGTAGAGAAGCTTATCTTCCAAATGCAGGTAGCAATACTTAAAACTAATGCAAGAGAACATCTGACTAGTAAGATATTCCATAATATTCTAGAGCAATGATGATGAGCCTATGGTATACGTGCTGCATTTGATTGTTTGTTATCACTGCAAGCTTTAAAAGGTTTGCCATCACTGCTCTAGAATATCTTTGTTTAAAATAGGTGTAGAGGTCAGGGATTTAGCTCAGTGGTTCTGCTGTCTGCCTTGTAAGTGCAAAGTCCCAAATTCAATCCCCAGTACAAAAAAAAAAAAAAAAAAAAAAAAAAAAAAAAAAAAAAATCCAAAAATAAAATAGGTGTAGGACTCTGTCATACAATACTGACCTAAACATAAACAAAGATTGAACAGAAAATAATTTTTATACCATAAAAATAAAAAGCTATAAACTATGTCATATTGATTTTTCTTTCTTTTTTTTTTCTGGTACCAGGGAATGAACTCGGGTCCTTGTGCTTGCAAGGCAGGCACCGGAACCACTGAGCTAAATGCCTGACCCCATATTGATTTTTAATATGTCCCTTTCTTTAAGAGATATTCTGCACATATTCAACATGTGTGAACTTCTCTGAAATGTTACCAAGGATAATGGGAGCTTGGCATGGTTTTTCATCGCCATTAATGTTGATGTGAATTTAACCATCAATTCCTTCATGTTAAACCAACCACATATTCTGGAATAAATCTAATTGGTCACGATGCATCATCCTTTTGATCTGTCTCTGCATTAGATCTGCTAATTCTTCCTACTGAGCATGGGCCTCTGCTCCTGAGGGTCTTGTGATTTTTTTTACAGTGCCTTCTGTCAGGATTTGAAATCAATGTTATCTAACTTCTCATAAAGTTATTTGGCTTCTTTTTCTATTCTCTAAGATGATTTTGTAATGTGGTATTGTTTCTTAAATACTTGCAATAATTCACCATGGGGAGTTGAATCTGTGGAAGACTCTATAGCTGTTTCTCTCCAACTCTCTTCTGTCTATAGCGCCTGGCTCTATGATCCCAGGTCCTCAGCTTCCCAGTACAGTGAGACTGCTTGTTCTTTGCTTGGGATCTGTCTTCTGACAGCAAGGCCTCTCCCTTGCCCAGGTGTGAGAGACTGCTTGGGCCTGCATAAGATGGCTGCCCTCAACCTTAGCCTTTGCCTCGGTGGAAAAATCCCACTAGACTACATACGTGACTTATGGCAGGTCTAGCCCCTGGGCAAACAGGGAATCTTACAGAAAAAATAGCCCTTTGTGCTAACCACAGGGTCACGGGATCTGGAGCAGGAGGCCGGTGGTATTTCCTTGTCCTGCTTGCCCCTAGAGATTGTTAAGTTAAAGATTGCATAGGGTTAACTGTTGATGTATGCCTTCCCACTTACCCCTCCCCACATTTGGTAAAATACTGATTGCTGTATGGTTAAATGCTTGAGTGACTCATGTGATTGGTAG